GAGCACTCAGTAGTTTACAATAAAAGGTCAGCAGAGAAAAACAACCGCTGATCAGGGAAGTTCCTGTTTTGAAATGCTAGTAGGCTTTTTTTCCCCCATATGGGAAAATGTGATGCTTGTGTTTCAGGAAGTCAAAGAATTTAAGATATTCAGCAGACAATACAATCAAAACATCTAAAACATCTTTAATCATGATCAGGTTTATATAATTTACATACTGCATAATATATTTATCCACATCCACATACATTTTCACAAAGAGAAAAAATAACACTTTTCTCCCGAGACAATGCATAGCAAAGTAAGGAACAATTCACCGTCTCATGAAAAAAAGGAAACAATATTAACCTTGAAAAACATCTCATTCAATAAAACTACTTGATTTCACTTCTGTGAACTGTAGTTTGTCTCTGTGGTTTTATCTTGAAACCCTTGCTTTGTTTAGCCTAAGCTGAGTTTTGGATCTGGTTCAGAGCCCAGTGTGCACCCAGTGAGGTCTGTTTCAGTTTGTTTCCCCTTTTTTGTCAGTTTGAGATGTGAACAAAATGGGGACAAGCAAAACAACCAGACGAAAATAAGATTTCAGAAAAATAAATGCTGTCACCCAGTTCAGTGCCAGGACAAGTTGTGCTTGTGTGTGTGTGTGTGTGTGTCTGTGTGAGAGAGGAAGCAACCAACAGCAGAACACCAGGGGGTGGTAGCTTTCTTTTAGCTGTGCACTGGTCACTCATCTCATTGTTTATCCCCCTAGTCTGTCTCCAAGGAGACACAGCCAGTCTGTGCTCTAACTTCTAATAAATGTCCAACTCTTACAATCATCTTGTGTTTAAAAGCATATAAGGGAGCCTACTCAAGAGGCCGACTGAGCTGCAATGTTGAGCAGAGCAGAGGGGAATGTAAGTTTTTTTCAAAAGGTAACATCCAGTCCGGTCACGTTAGAAACAAAAGGGACTTTGTGAGGTGAGTATGAGGGAATGAAATCTAAGCACATTGACAGCAGCAATTAAGTTCTGTCAATTAAGATGTCAAACCGACTCTTTGACATCCTTAAATGTCTCTCATTTTAGGTTGAGCCTTTAAACAATGTCATGAGTCAGGATTATAGGAAATATCAGGGAAAATAACCACAATAATAAAAAGATTTCTTTATCAACATTTCGAAACTGATCCAGAAACCATGAGTAAATTATGGATCACAAATCAAACCACCAGTTGCGATAAGCTCACATGATGTTCCATGTAATGAATCACTTAAGGCTGTTAACATCAGCATTAACTTGCCGACAGTCACCGTGTGTCTCAATTCATCTCGCTCAACGTCACCCAACGTGCACTGCTCTGCTGCAACTGGCACTGCTGTAAACGCTGTCTCATGTGGTCTCCAGAGCCGATGCCGGATCGTCCAAGTTGCCATGGCAACCACGTTCACGTAGATACCCACTTGTCTATGTAATCACACTCTTTATCTTGTGCTCAGAATAGCCTGAGGGTGCAAGCACCTGAGGAAAACGCATCGCACACAGGCCGTCTCATAAATCCTGGACATTAAAGGGACACGGTTTAAGGAGCTGACGTGGACGGTTTTGTTGGCTTTCTGCTTTGTAAAACAAATGCAAACAAGCTTTGCCAAAAAAAAATTCTAAAAAAAGAAAGAAAGAAAAACAAAAAGTTCAGAATTTAGCACTATGTCAACTCTGAACCGTGCTCATTCCAGTTATTATCCATCTTTTAAAAACAACCAGACCACAAGGAGCTCATCCGTCCATCTACACTGTCTGCACTCAGTAAGCCTCTGCTGTGGAATAGGTAAAACAATGTTCATATTCTAATTTTTAAACTGAGCATGCTGAGTGAAGACACATTAAGTCATCATGGGCTGCTGTATATCTCACAAAAGAAAGAATATAGGCTGATGTAATGAGTTTTACAGGTTTGTTCACTGCACTACTTTTTTTCCATAAACCTCAGCACATTGGGAGAGAAAGCCACAAACTAGCAGACAGAGCTTTCTCGAGCGTTATATTACTTTACAACACAGGGGAGATCTCACATGTTGTGGTTAGAGGCTATGCCATAGCTCTAGTAACTTTATAGAAGGACGGTCAAGGATTTTCTTTTTCTTATAGTCAGTGTTTGCACCGTATGTGTCCAAAAGTTCAATGTCAACTTTGAGCTTGCTGTTCTTTGCTTGTCTCCAGTCACTGTTCTTTTGGATTCGGCTTTATGGTGCTGTCTCCACTGAGAGGGCATTGCGCACACATGATGTGTTTGTTGGCACAGACTGAATATTTCCATCAAACGACTGTGGTGGTGGAAAGTAGGATGAAAATAAAGGCAGGAGGAGGAGAGGGGAACACTTCACTGGCTCTAATGAATAGATGCTGAGCTTAACATCTAACCGTTGTTACAGAAAGAGACAGAAATCTTGAACAAAGCAGACAGAACAAAAATTAAAAGGGAGGGAGAATAGGGGACATCAGGTCAACATGCATTGAAAACTTCGGTTTTACATTTAATCTGATAACTGTTAACAATTAAATAAGTATGTCCTGCAAGTGATTGTCTAAAAGCCAGCTTTGCAAATTACTACAATCAGATCAATGCTAGGAATGGAAGCCAACAATAGATTTAAAGTATTTCTAAATGTAATAGCTATACAGAGGTGCTTTATGAATATGTCATCAATAACTTTGAGCTCTGACTGTCCTCCATCATCTTTAGTCCACTTTACCAAATACAGAATCTTCAATGCATTCTGTCTGAAAACTAACACATATTGTTTGGAAACATAAACACTGATTCAGTACTAGATTTATTAACTTCAGTGACAGTTTAAGGAACGTTTTGAACAAACCGAAACAAGGAAAGGTTTTGTAGAATTCCCCATGTGGTCTTCCTCTCCTGGAGCAGCCAGACCTTCTTCTTCTCTACTAAATTAGCAAAGTAGAAAAACAGCACATTTAAGTTGACCACACAACAGACAGAAATATGAATGATCTGAACACGTGCAAACATCCTGTGGTTTGACATCAAGATGGAGGCTGTGCCGTGTCACCCCAAACTTCCCACATCAGTAACCATTTCACAATGAAAACTACTGAAAAAATGGCTACTGTTCAAAGTCCTGCTCAGTGATTTTCAGAAGAAAAATCTAAAATTCAGAGCAGCTTTTTAGAGACCTTGGCAGTAATAAAATCCTGTCTATATAAATTGGTTTAGGGGTTCTTGAAATATATGCATAAAAGCAATTAATCAAAGACTTAATTGTAGTTTGAACAGTAATATTATATAGAATGGTGCCCTTCATTCAGAACACGACGGCTTCAACATTAGTGGGACTTGCCATACACTGGCAGAAGGAAAACGCTGTAATGAATCAAAATAAGTCGAAAATCACTTGAAATCCTTGGGGGGAATTTATCACTTCTAATCCTTGGATACTGATGGACCAGCTGTGCTCCTCAGGAGGGCAGATTACATGAATCTGTCTCACCATCCCCAGAAGTGTTTAAAAACGTTTTTAGTTTTTCTTTCTTTATTTCTTACTTTTAAGCTAGACGACATTTCTTCCAAGAAACTGAAAAATATTGCTTTTCTCGTTAGATTGTGTTAAGACTTCCATGTATTCCTCACAATTCAATCTCTTAGGTTTTCAGCACTAGGCATGCATTATCCACTCAGCCGGCATAATATATTTACCAGTCGACATTCAGGAGCACACAGACCGTCGATTCAAGCCATTTGTACAGACAAGCAGAGACCAAGGTTAAAAAAACAAAAAAAACAGGAAGTCAGTCAAAACATTCATATTATCATCTCAAGGCTTGTGTTGTTTAGGTCTAAACTAATCAGGCACAACTTCTGCATTACATAAAACCCAAAGCTGTCAACAACTCGAGAAAAATATTCAGCTATATTCAGAATTCACACAAAGTCACAACTATTACCAGATGCACAGAGTAGAGCTTTGAATTGATTCAGAGAATTTACAGCACAGTGTAACTGAAGTGTAACTCAAAAACACAAATACCAGCAGTGGTGTGTTATTTGTTGTGTTTTAAACTTTTACTAGCTTCAGTGCTGTTTCCTTTGAGTCATCAAAAAGATTAACTGACCATTAGGGGAGAAGCACATTTTTACTGTCTATCATGTTATGTATTTAGTTATTTAATTTAACAATTCTTTCTAACCAGTGAAGCTTAGTTGCAAGTTCCATAAATAAGTCTATACAATATCTAATTTCTGACTGAAATGTGAGTAAGGGGGTTGTTTGACTGCTATTGCTATGTGAAGCTATTTCTACTATTTGGCTTTATCAGTGATTTTTGTACAATTTGTACAATTTGGCAGTCATTGCCAGCCTAAGCAGTCATGGCCCCTTCAAACCTTCCCATTAAATACCAAATTTGACTGAGCTTGATTTCAGATTATTAAATGATTGAAAACACAAATAAATAAAGGCTTGGAATATCTTTCACTGAAAAACAGCCCAAAGAAGGCAAAATAGCATGATAATAGTAACTGGTATCTATTTTTGTTTACAGGGTGAAAGTTAATTTATATTTGATCTGCAATCATGTTTTAGCACTGGTATATTATTACTAAAAAGAATATTTGAATACAAAAAAGAAATAACTAACTTAAATAACATCAGGGCATGCCAAAAGACCCTGAGAAAAACGGTGACACAGGATTTTAAAAGAGATTTCCTTTCATTTGTGTGTGGCAGCCCTATTTAACTGAACATGGATAAATCTTGTGTGCATCCGCCATTTTTCTGACATCAATGTTTGGTTTTGTTTAGAAGTTAGTGCAGTCCCAAGAGGGAAAGAAGATAAACATGTTGTTGTTTATCAAACCCAGTGCCTTTCACTGAGGACAGCCTCATTATGTGCATTTCACACAGCATTTCACTCTTCTATGGTAACTTTTAGTCATCTGGTCTTTGAGATTGCAGGAGAATTCACAAGTGCCTATAGTCCCATCAGCAGCAATCCTACTTACAAAAAAGTCACATCTTCTTGTGACTGCACCCATCGCCAGTGTGCATCATACTCCAGGTGCATTTTGCCATTCATTTTGCATGTTTCCAAATCTATCTTTCCATTTTTGTAAGCTTTGAGTTTGGGGCTGGTTTCCACTTTTTCGCCGAGGCCTGCTCGAGTCGGGCTGCCTGTTTGTGTTGCTGGCTTCTGCGGAACCCCGTTGGACTTAACGGACGGAGCCTGAGTGCTGTTCTTAAAGACAGGGCTTCCCTTATTCTTCTCTGAAGTCTTGCTCCAGACCGGAGTGTCTTGTTTGGGGCCCCCCGAATTAGGTTGAGGGGAGCTGACACAAACTGTTTTTCCAGTTTCACTTCCCCTCAGCCCCGTCCCGACCGCGGCGCCATTAACTGCATTACCAGATCCTCCGCTAACCTCGTTCCCATTTCTGTCCCCGGGTCCATTGTCGTTGGTCCCGGAGAGGGTGCCACTCCCGGCCACAGCGCCCGACTGAACCCCCGCTCCGGGCGCCACTGGCCCCGCGGCCCCGGGCCTGCTTGCTGCACGGGCCCCAGCAACAGCTTCTGAGACGAGCGGAGTGGTGGAACAGATGACTGACTCGGAGCTAGAGGGGCAGTACTCGTCCATCTCATCCGCCAAGGTGTCCAGGTAGCTGCCAATGGAGATGTTGTCTAGCTTGTCGTTGGTGGGGTCCTGCAGGCTGCTCCAGGAGCCTCTCCAGGAGGTGTCGGGGCCCTCGCCCAGGCTGTACTGGCTGCTGGTCAGGCTGCTGCAGTGGCTGGTCAGCGTGCTGCGTTCCTCCATGAGCCACTTCACGGCCTCGATGCCCTCGTGGACTGCCAGTAGCTGCTGCAGAATCTTTACATCCACCGAGCGCAAGTGAGCCTATGGATACAAAAAAAAGGGACGTGAACAGATGGAAAGTTGCTTTAGTTGTGTTTATATTCTGATAATGTTTATTGTGGAAAAACAAAGGACACACTGTACCAAGGGAGACACCAGAACACTACAGATATTTATTTGAAGCAGTCAATCTTTGGCACGGGAGTTGTGCTCAAACCCCATTATACTGCTACTGAACCTTTGCAGATTACCATAACTGGATGAGACTTTTAATGGACAACAGCTGCTGGAGTCTACAACGCTAAAAATGGAAAACAAAGTAAAGGTGGAAAAGAAACAGACTTACAGATAGAAATAGCAAGGACATATGTCCAAAATTGGCTCTGTAGGAGGAACTAAGAGATGAATATGTTCAACAGTGGAAAGCATGAGAGATGAGTGGCTTTAAACTGCCTTGTAAATGCCCTGAAAACTGTTAAAAAATGCTTGAGAGTTTATTCAGTCACTGTTCACTATGGAAGAGAGAAAAAAAGCTTTAATTACAACAAAAATAACAGTTTCTGAAATCTTCTAATGTGATACGTGTGGGAGGGAGGTAGGAAAAGCTTAATGGTGAAAGAAGAGGGGAAAACAGACTGATGTAATCATGGAAAATTCTTCCACTGAATACATTTGCAGAGGTCTGCAGTGGGGAGCAGACGAAGAGGTGATATATGGCACCAACATCCAAAGCTCAGCCAGATGATATAATCTCGTCACTAAGAATAACTGCTCTCCCTTAACTTTAAAGCTTCTCATTCCCTAAATTTCTTCTCCATATCAATTTATTCTTTATTGCCCTCTCTCTCATGGTGTTGTCTATGATGTCAATTCTTTGTTAGAAATAGTGTGACATATTTTTCTAAATTAAATCATTTGTGAGCAAAGTACACATATATACAGATAAACTTTACTGGAGGAAAGGAAACCCCCCTTGTGCTAGTCTATCCTTCCAGTTAATCACTAGAATGATCAAACACCCTTTGAATACATTGAATACAAATTATTTATATCATGGCATTTAGTTCAATTGGCTTAAGTAGACTGAGATACATTTCTTTTTTTATGCCTACAAGATTCTTGTCACACGCTTTTATGTGACCCCTTCCAAGTTTAGTTCCTGTCAGATTTTTCTCTCAAAAGTTTTAGAAGTTCTATTTCCATGGATAATTACCTAATTTGTTTGAAAATATACTTCATGCCTTCTTTGTATCGGCCAACAGAATAAAGTATACTTTTTTGTTTTGGGTCTCATCACCACTCCACAAAGCTGTTTGTGGGATTAAGCTGAAAAGGAGAGAGAGAGTAACTTTTACAGTCAAGCTGTATGGACAGTGTGGTAGGAATGTGACGATGCCAAGGCTGCACTAAACTACACTTGCTTATGCAGCTCCAACAAGATAAAGAAAGGGGAAATGGATCAGGTAAACAAGTTATTGAATCCCTGCTACTTTTATGAGGGCAGTATATTTCTAAATGTGCCTGCCGATTCATCCCTACTGCTCATGAACCACCCATCACTCTGTGATCACATGGAGGACGGCCACATTAATAAGCAGAGAAAATGAGCAACCACGGGCTTTCTGCCAGCGTGCTGCATGCGTGGCTCTAGACCTGCTGGGATTCTGGCTCACAGCCTTTTGGGGTGGGGTTCGGTTTTGAGGTTTTTTGGCTGGCAGTGGCAGAGTGCATAATGAGGATAGCCATAAAAGTAGCTCGGTGCCTGTCAGCGCTGAGGTGGCACAATGCTAACGAAGCTCTGTGCTCCACCAGTCTGAGGAAACTCTGCCGAATGGGGTCTATATGAGGGTAGAATGATGAGATTTGTGCTGCAGTCACACCTCAGTTAAAGACCAGGAGAAAGATGCAGCGTGGGTTGTTTCTATTGAAAGCATACGCTGACATACATTCTCTAACAAAACCTAATCCACTTTCTAATAATGTTCCAGTGAGAAATGTAAATAAAAATGTCCAAATTGGATCTTGTCAAATAGGAAAGCTACCATAAATGAATTGCGAAAACATGCAAAACACTTGCAAAGCAAACTGTAGTCAACCATTTTGATTTCATGCTCAGAAAGAGCTTTTGCTTTCATGTTTAAAGTCATTCACATATTTCTCTATTTCTTCGGTGTCATGACAAATCTAACTTCTTGATTTTTTTCATATCAACACAACTTGTGTTCATCGTTTATTTAAGAAAAAGGTCAAAATACTATATGCAGGACAAAGGGACGTAAGTAGGAAATAGTGAATAGCAAGCATCAAGTGTTTTATCCACACCTTTGTGAATTCAGCCAATTAAGAAAATGAAGTTACATAGATTAATAATAGAGCTAATTACACAGGCAGATGAAGCACGACGTGTGACGCTGACCCTCCCATATGGTAAAAACATCCTCTCAATGTCACACAGCCACTGAACAGACTGCTGAATCACTGCCAGCTGGGAGACGAGTTATCTCACACTCAAGAAAAGAAACACAGACACACACACACACTCTCCTTTACCCTAAAGTCCCTGTCTATTGTCTGACCGTCTCAACCTAACTTAGGTCATCTTGAGAAATATGATGTTTTTGTAGCCTAAATTAGACCTTCAGCAGACACTCTGTCTTTGCAAATGAGAAAAAAAACATGGTTTGATTAAAATGGACCTCAGGCAAGCACAGAAACACTTTTTTCCCCTGTTAAAATGGGTAATAAAATCCTTTCATGAAAACATATTAAAGGAAAAGCACTTCAATGAGGCCATTGCTGACTGTAGTTGCAAAAAGAATGACCACCTTAATTTTCTGGTTGACAAACAAGGACACATTCTTCATGGATTGTGTGCTCACAAAATCTTGCAGAAATCCAACATCTTCAAAAGGCGACAAAAACAGAATATCGACTTCATTTCAACATTTCTTTATTCATTTTTCTTCAAAGTAGCATATTTCTTGCATCAGATTTTAATAAAAAGACAGGATATGCCTTTACTAATGGCTCAGTGATTTCTGTTGCATAGCTACAAACAGCAGGAGGGGGCAGTGAATGTGGTGAACAGATAAAAGAGTAGTGGTTCATTTGGCAGCAATTTAAAATTAAAGAATGGTGCACTGTCTGTCTAACTTTCTAACCAGACAGAGTTTTTTTTTAAAAACGAGACACAAAAAGGTTTTATTTGATTCCATGAAGCTAAGCTAATTTTTCAAACTGACTTTGTATTGACATCTATTTAACCTGACAGGGAAAAGGTAGAGAATCAAAGGAATTCACAAATTAGATGAGAATTATACAACTCAAGAAGTAGCATCGTCTTCTGTTGTCTTAAAATAAGCTGATCAACAATAAGTGAAGCAGCTTATGTAAAAAAAGAAGTGTGTTTATTTTTTCGATGGGGAAATAAGGCTTACTGTCAGTCTTCTGTCTTAAAAGAGTTTCTCAATCATGTAAATCTGTTCAGATCAGTGGAAAGTGAGTCTTTAATTAGAAAGCTGGAGATTTAACCTGCAAGAACATCCATACAACCATCCATCAATCCATCCATCCATTTTCGAGACCAATTTATTCCAAGGCAGGTTCGTGGGAGGAGTTGGAGCCTATCCCAGCTGTCATTGGGTGAGCCAGGTACATCCTGGACAAATCCTCAGTCACATGACCACACAAAGCGAACAAGACAGACATTTGCAAGACCAGCAGCTCTAGCCGTATCTCATAGTTTTATCTCATGGTCAAAGATCTTCTGAATCCCACAGAGTAAGGCTGTAGCATCATGCTAAAATGCTCTTGGATGTTTCATTTGCTTCAGTCAAACATATACTGAATGACAAGAAGCAGAGCAGTGTTTTATTATTGGCAGTTTAAACCCTGACACCATAGCCCACACACAAACACAGATGCTCCGCACACCACCACCGTTCTGTGGTTCCAAAAGTTACATGAACCAGAAGGCTCTCCACAAGCAAAAACACAGCAACAACAAGCGAAATCCGGCTTTCTGTTTAACACCTTGCCTGTTAATGAGGGTCTAAACGAGCTTATCAGCATGGTGGAAAGTGTTAAACGCACACAAACACATTTACTTTGCAGCACCGTGTGCACCACTGCGAGTACACGTGACCGTCACTCTGCAGACACCTTGCACATGCATCGCTATACATCTTACTAAGCAGATCTGTGATGAAAGTGCAGTGCTCACATATCTGCTCTGGACTCCTATTACACAACACCACTCAATGAATGAAACAGCCACTCACTCACACACACACACACACACACACACACACACATATACAATAAAAGGCTGGATCTGTGATGCACGGGAAGCAGCTTATCATTTTTCTCCTTCCTGCTCTTTTTCTTCTGTTGTTCCATCTGAGCAGTAGCACTATTCATAATTAAGCTACCAATCTTTACAGAATATATCAACTCTGATGTAGGTGACCAAAGGTGACCATAAATGTCCAAATGAAATGTTTTGTCTTTTATGTATAGAATTGGCGACCTATCCAGAGTGTGCCCCGCCTCTCACTCCTTGTCAGCCAGGATAGGCTCCAGCCCCCCCCCCCCCCCACCCCCGTAGGGAATAAGCAGAATAGAAAATGGATGGATGTATGGAATCAATAAATAAGAAAAAATGAGTGGCTCTTTCATAAAGAGGAAGTGAGAGTTTGTATGCAATCAATATTTTTCCTTACATACATCCTGATCAGTATGCTATCTATCCCCTCTTAAGTAAGCCAGCAGCCTACTTAAGCTTATAGGCCAACTTCCAGAGTGCTGATAATGACAGTGGAGAAGTACAGCACTTCTTCCTTAGGAGTCTGCAGACCCATTTTCTGCCTGCTTGAGCCAGTCCTGGAGATAAATAGGCTTCTTTTGTCAGATTAGTGGCCGAAGTGATAATGTGCTTTGGATGTTCAAATTTAACCAATGTGCTGTGGAGCAACATTGTCAGAAAACAGCTTGCTTTGTTTAGGAGTTTCGGTAGTGGTGGTGCATGTGCTCCGTGTCACAACCACAGACTGGGTGCATGCCTGCATGTGCCACAGGAATGTGTTGTACACACAAACTTAGAGATGACAAAAAGACAGTAGAGCAGTGCGCCTCTCTGCTGTTTGGAGAGAGCTGAGGTGAAACTAGATGCCAGAGATTAATTTGTTTAAAGAAACAAATCAGCAGCCGACCATCAGACATACTAACCCTGAAAAACAATGAACAACATTTACAGATTTAAGAAAAGTGCTTTTCAAAGAGTAGCTGCTCTCATAACGAACTCACGTTTAACAACACTTATCATTCTCTTCTCTGTCAACCTATCTCACATTTTCTTGTTTCTTGTCCTTGTTAAAACTGTACTCAGCCAACCTGAAGTTCTGCTCTTCACCCCAAGAAGAGTCTTGATAAAGTTACTTATTAAATTGCTGTCTGAAATGAATTATCTTGTGTCCTTGTATAATTCTTTGGATAATAGTGTCTGCTAAATACATAAATGTAATTCTTAACTCATCGAAACATCTTTATAGATATTCCAATTGTACAGAAATGTGGATCCCTAATGATCCTGCGAGGTCACAGTCTAAACTAACATGTAGTTTTCACCTATTGTGTCTGTTTTGCATTGGCATATTTGTGACATATTGCATTTGTTTCTTTTTTCAGACTATAATGATTCTTAATTTTTATAATCGCATATAATGACACATCGATGTTGTCCCTACATTCCAATTCTAATATAAATCAGCTGGCAAGTTAGAAAAACACTTAACAGTCTGTTCATTTAAGTTATAACATGAAGGGAGACTTTCATACTCAGCTGATATATTTCATAAGGTAAGCAGCACCACAATATACTAAACAAGTTTAAATAAAAGCAGCCAGTTAGCCAAGAAGTTGTAGAGTCACCAAACAACATTTATATTTTAATAGCATTCATACTGCAGACTGGAGATAGAGTTTAAATTATATCATCATTACATTTTATTTGTTCTAATGTTAGGAACTGTCCCCTTCCTTCCACCACTGTCTTATTGTAGATGTTTCTTTTTTAATTATCCAGCATCACTATTACAGTTTGGTCTTACATACCGTAAAAATGATAAAATTAAGAAAAGGAAACTATTGTGGCTTCCAGTTTAGCTATAATAATGTAATAATTTTGTAACAAAACATCCGTTTTCCTCGATTACCAGCAGTTACACACTTTCAGCTGAGTACACATGACACGTCCTGTCAGATGCATTACTCTGAGAGCTGTGCTGGGCTGCATGAAAACCAGATTTAGTCTTCGGAAGCATATCATTTTTGGATATGTGATCATAGTTTGAGACCACACTGGACTTTTTGTTAACCAATCACACCACTCTACCATATCATTTTGAACATGTATACGCAAGATACTTCATCCAGTAGTTATAAGCTCTATGAAAATGTTCCAGTGGTCTGAAAGCACAGGAAAATGAGCACCTTGTGTTGATGACGCAACAGTAAATTGCAACGTTCCACTCAACACTGCTGGAAATGTGGGATGGTTCAAGACAACAGAGAGGAGTCAAAGGAGCTAATTTATGAGAGGCAGGGTCAGAGATCTTTAGTGTGGGCAGTGAAGAAGTGGCAGGACAGCGGGAGTTCAAGATGTTTCTCTGGAGTGTAGAGCATGCATTCTCAGCTGTCAGCAGATGTTAAGTTGAGTTTTTGAGATAAATTGTGTTATTATAGTGTCAAAAGAAATTATAAGTTGAAGAAACGGTTGACATTTCCAACCAACTTCTTCATACTAAAGTCTGAAATATCCCACGGCCCTGAAACACACAACTACTCGGATGATGCAGAACCGATCATCCGAGTAGTTGTGTGTTTGGTGTTTTCCATTATACCTGAGCGATGATAAACTCTGCTGAGACTGACGTGTTTAAATATTCACAACGACATTGTCCCGTGAAGCAGAGCTGGATCAAATTCTCAGCCTCCATTAAGCTGCATCACAGTGACAACCTTACTTCACACAGACAAGTCAGGATTCGAATCCATCAGTCTCTGGATGTCACAGACACTTCTATATCTCCATAGAGATTTACCCCTAACATCGATCATCCCAAATTAAAATGTAACTTGCACCAAAAAAATAACCATAAAAGTTTTGTTTCGGCCTAAAAAAATCCCTCTGAAAAACAACAGGTTTCAAAAGGACCCAAGATCTAATTCATACATGTGTCCAGTATAAAAACTCTTACCATCTCCATCTTCAGTTTCCGAATCTTTTCATCCAAACCCTTCCTGTCCGTCTCCTTGCTGACGTCGTGAGGATTGGTCACTTTGGCGTCTCCCCGAAGGGAGGACGCGTCTTCCCTCATCCACCTGAGCAAACCCTCGGGGGTCTTCCGGCCGATTTTCACCTCTAAATCTTTCAAATCGGGCACGATCTCGCTGGTGGAGCATTCGTCCATCGCAGTCGTGCGCAATTACAGAACAGATCCGCAGCGAAAACGACCACGTCCCTCTGGACTGTGTGAGATCGCTGCCTGTGAAGCTGCAGGGTCTCCTCCTCTAGGACTGAATGGCATCCTATGCGACTCCTGCTGAGTTGGACTGCGCAGGCAAGGGAGAAGAAAAAAAAAAACAGTTCTGACAGCAGCAACACAGCAGTTGGATTATCCCATCAGAAAGCTGTTCGATTAGTGCCTCAGCTTTTTTGTCGTCATGCTGAATGAAACGTAAGAACTGACGCTCTTCAAGTAAAAGCGGGTGACAAGTCAGTTAGTCAGCTGTTTCCGCCAACAGCTGTGTGATGGTCAGAGCCCAGGATCCCGTGAGGCTGCTGTGTGGGTGTGCAGGAGAGCCTGAAGCCGAACCCCACTGCGCAGATTCCACCTGCATGATGACAGCGGCCAGCAGCAGCCGCAGAGTGGGAGAGGGGACCGGAGACGGTCAAGCCAGCCACAGCATCAGCGAGCGGCTTCCGGTTTGCCTTCAAAATATAGGTCAAGTGCAGGAACTGCTGCCTAACATGTCTGAGCTACCATAATAAAACCACTTTCCTGCAAGTTTCCCTGCTTCAAAACCCCTGATTCTGATTTAATGGCTGTGCATAAGCCTGTTGGTAGTGCATTGATGTGAATCAGGCGTGCTAAAGCAGGGGAACTTTAAAAACCTGCAGGACAACAGCCCTCAATAGCCGACTTTAGACACCCTCATTGAAAAAACAAACATGATCGCTGCTGATTATGTTACAAGATCCTACTAGTACTGCGTGGTGATTTTTAGGTTGGGTTTGATATTTTTATCATTTTGATTCTGATTAGAAAAGCTTTGTTAACCTGTCATATTGATAACTGATTTCCTCTTCAATAAGCATGGATTGTTTTGTTTTGTTTTTAACTAAGAGTTCTTTACTTTAAAATGTATTTTGAGCAAGGACAAAGTACCAAGTTTTCATGGTATTCCAGGCTATGGTTTGTTATTCCACCAAGAAATGAATATGACAAATATCCTAACGACGGCCTTGTTACATGTTATTTACTTAGAACAAAGACTAAAATTTGTTCTGTGGTTAAGCAGTGTTTGCAATGAAAAAGAACAAAAATGTATATTTCTACACATACTGTGTATATATATCATATCTTTCCTTAATTAGTGCAGAGAGCCTCTAGACTCACTGTTGCTTTATTATCTTAGCAAATGTTGCATAAGCAGCATTTATAGAAGCTAAATTTGAAGTTACTGTTAGTGGGTGGTGATTAATTCACTATATTAAATGCTAAGAATTATATGAATGAAGATTCACATAAAGTAAAGCAGATGTGTGTTACTTAAGCCTCTTGACACCATTACTTACACTCACAACATGCAACTCTACTAGACAACGATTTCCCTGCCAGAACCGTGTCTGCCTCGACACGGTTCAGGCAAATCTTTCCTTAACAGGACTTTATTTCCTCATGTGTATCTGTGATTGAGGTAATACCTCAGGTTAAAGCTATGTGGACATGAGACTAGTGGACTGGTTTACTGGCAGAGGGATAAAATAGTGCTGTCAGAAATGGGAACAAAACATTGATTAAGGTAAATGGTGCATGATTTTCCCTGTATTTTTTCTCTATGTATCAGAATAAGAAGAAAATCTTTATGAGGGGATTGTCATCAGTCACCAAAAAAGACAAATAACTTTAGGGCTGGGGTTGAAAAGGACAGACTTGAAATAGACATAGAACAGGTAATACATTTAAATTTAGAAATTTGGCAGTGATCATTTTTGGTAAATGTGCACAGTGTAAATGTTGTACTGTTGCCCTCCATTACATTTCCTTGCACACACACATACACAGTAACACAAAAGGTAGGTGTAATCTGCCGTCAGGGAAGGCTTGTGGGAAGCCTCACAGCACACACTCACTCTGATGAAGCTGTCAGTGACTAAGCCAGGCAAGGGGTTTGGAAAATAGTCACTGATTGAATGACTCATTCTAAGAAGAATCAAAAGGATAACAACATATTCTCTAAAGAAGTGGGGTGGAATAGCAGTGTATAACAAAAACTGTATTTGAAGCTCAATATGGGAATGTATCTGATTGTTTCTGATTAGGCAGTAAGGCAGTATGGCCATGTAATAATTACAAAATATACATAGTAATTACTCAAAATGCTTTAAACCAGTTTTATGCACCCATGTTGAGGATATTACATAGACTGAGAAGAGATCAGCTTGGTGGGGATTGAAAGAAAAGGCAGAAACTCTGGATGAATGAGGTTTTACTGAGAGCTTTTACATTCAATCTCCCATCTGTCAGGGGTGCCATGTATTCCAGTTGCTCTCCTGTCCGTGGAAACATTTTGTCTTTGCAGAGATGAGAGGTAACTTTTCGAGTTGCATAATCCCTGTCTTCTGGTTCAACCTTTGTTTTAATGTTGCACAATGAGGAAAGATAATGCTATAATTCAGTGCACTTACCTTTCACCACCATCTATTTGCTTGTTTTGTTATTGATATCTGTTTTTGAAACACATCACACAACAGGAACTGAAATATTTAATGTTTTCTCAAGAATGATAAGATGATAACAGCTATTTTTACTATTTTTTCCATTGATAATAAAATATAAATATAGTTAATTTGAATTGGGGGTTTAAGCAGAAGGAATGCAGTCAGAAAGACAAAAATAACAGTTGAAGAATGCAATTCTTTAAGGATAGAAAAGTGTACACTTAATGGAACGAGGTACAAACCAACAATTGAATTATGAAATATGAAACTGAGTATAATTCAAAAGGGATATGTTAAAAACATTTCCTTAGTTTTGACAGCAAAACATGCATTTTTAACAACTGTGTTACTATTCAGTCAGGCTGGTATCCTGTTGATCGCCATGACAACAATAACTGGATGAGAGAATATAATTTTTTTCCTGATAAAAGAGTTTCCAAGGTGCATTTTGATACAGCTCTGTCATACAATAGCCACAGGAGGAATTTTTAAGGCTCCTGTTTCGCTTCCTGGAGGAGTTCTTGGTCATGTTTAGGTGATAACATCAAATAATTGAAAATCAAAACTTCTCAGTTAAATCTAGAAAACATTTTGACATAGAGTATATTCTTTCAACAATAGTTTCATTTCCTGGTCACAGTTACCAATAACACAGTTGACTCTCTTAGTTTATGTCCAATTGTGTTTGGATTGAAAAAGATTCTTTCCACTATGCCTTTGCAACTTTAACTGACGATAAGAAATCTTAGGTTTTTGCTGGAACCTTGACCAGGGGTTCGCATCTTGACTCAAACTTAGCTCTGGCATTTGCATGCAGGTTTGCATGTTGACTACATTTGCATTGATTTGCTAAACTTAGTCAACATCCCACCAAAACCTACATCATTAGCATCTAGACTTTAGATGCGCTAGACTCTAGAGCTTTGTCTCGCTGGCTTATGTGTCGCTGCATTCTCATCTTTTTTCAGGTAGGCTTTGTCCATTTGTACACACTTTACATACACTTTAAGTAAATGTTTATTTAGAAAATTTTGTAAGTTACATCTGGTCACAAACAGACTAGGATTTTGCTGCTAATGGCTAATAGTTGAATCCTAGGTAGAGAAACATACAAACCATCATGATATTAGACCTGACCAGAAAAACATGGAATGAGGTACTGAAAACTCTTATGAATGTGTCAAGAAAAAAGGGCTTTGTTGATGCCTGTGAAGTTTGTAGGAGTCTAACAGTGGAAATTTGGTCCTGATTTACCACATTTTTTATTTTTCTGATCTCAGGAACATTCTACTTTGTTGTTGTACTTTGTTGTTGTCACTGTTTTACCACCACCTTGATGCTTTTTTAACTGATAGGTGTACTGACATAAAGTTCTTCATTTTTTTTTATATTCAATATGGTCACATAAAGCGGGAGGCAAGTACATGTGTATAGCACATTTCATGCTATACAAATAAACAGGATAATTGAAAGTATACAGAGTGTCATGCGCTGTACCGTGTATGTATTCACGGCCATAGTTGATACGTTAGCCCAAATTATTTCCAAAACCATTTCCCCAAAATGATAGGCGCTAGAAGGAAATCTTCCATTGAGATGTAACTATCGATCAAGAAAAATGTGACACAAGTTTAAAATGTGGGATGCTTTAAGTAGCATGACTTTCACTAATAAACCCATGATATAAAATGAGATGAGGAAGAATCATTCATAAATAGATTTTGAAAAGATGGATTGGAAAACATTTAATGATACGTTGAAATTCACTGTCTTAGTTATTGGATAATTATCAGTGCTCAGTCTCTTTTTGGAACATTTTATTCTCAAATTGAATCATGGAAATGTAATAACTGTGTAACTTATTTCTATGGCCTTAAGAGTGCACACAAATAGAAACACATCTGTAATGACTACATTACTATACATTCAGGCTGGTTTCCAATGCTCACCACCATGGCAACGGTTGTTGGAGAAAAAACAAGCAGCTAGCCTTTTCAAATTGGGAACAAGCATTTGTTTTTGGTTTGCATATTGACTTCACAATTATGCAGGCTTTTACTGGGTGTTCCAGTTTCTTGCCACACTAAAAAGTGGGTGTTGTGGTACAGCTGTTTTTTGTCTCACTGATGGCTAGTTCATTTTCACATGGGCTTGGTCTGGATATTCTTCTTATCTTTCAGACTAATATTGGAAACTAAGACAAGTGAATGGGCTTTTCCATCATAACAAATTGCCCCAAGTTAAAAGATTTTCAGTTACAATATTAGGCCATTAGTGCCAATACAGCAGCGTGAAGTGGAAATTTAGTACAAATGTTTGATTTAACAACACCCGCTGCAACTCTTTTTTATTCTTTGCTTTGTACACAAGAATTTACCCAAAACAGAAACAAGCGAACAATCCATTTGCTCTCCTTTAAAAAGAATCAACATCTTCCAGCTTTGTTACCTTCAAATAAGTTTTTTTTTCATATAGAAATACAGGCTTGTGAAAATGTGTGCGTTGAGTATTTTACAGTTTTAATCGAAACATGACTGTTTTTCTTTCAGTCCCTAGTTTTCCCTTTCGGTTTGAACAGTTTAGTCATTAAAAAACCTAATGTTGATCTTAAGATCAAATCTTTCATATTCACCACATTGGAAACATTTTTCTAGGTTATTGCACATTTTCAGTGGACACCAAAAAGGTTCAGTCTTCAATCATCACGACTGAAACACATTAAAGTTGTAGATGTTCAAAATAAAAAGGGTCTGGATTTAAAATTCTACCTATTACATTATTTGACATCAATGAACTGACACTAAGTAAAAGAAAAGTTAGACCGTATGTCCTGAAGGGGTGACAATGAATAAGAAATGGGTGTCAACAGAGCCTGAAAAACTGGTATGAAACAAGAGGAAACAAATTATACTGAAGGTAAAAAGGAAGTAGCTCAACCAAATTAAACAGGGCATAATATGAGCCGTTACATGAGAGGAAAAATACAGAAAGAGATCAATCTACCAATCCCCTGTAAATTCTTTATGGATTAAATATGTTAATTGAACACAAATGCAATGCTAAAAAGTTTATAAAAATACTATTAGGTTACGTAGTGACCTTTGCCATTTTTCCTTCACATGTGTTCCAAAAGTTAATCCCATCTATCCCACCAAGCTATCTGTCCAACCACCATGTTAATGGTGAACCAGTTCGGTTTTTAATAGCCAAGGATTATATTCTATAATTCTATCAATGCTACTCGTGGCTTACATATAAGATCAGAGGGAAGCTGAGCTCTCCGGCTTGTGAGGTTCCCTTGAAGTAATGAGGTTTTGTTTGTCTTTTAAATGGTCAGACTGGTTTGTCGAAACACAATTCTGCCCTCTGGTGGAGGAGTTTGTTTTATTCATAGAGCCTAAAACTAAAGTACACACTGGAAATTATTGTGATATGCCAAGAATGAAATGTTTGCCATACTTTAAATGTCCATAGTATTTGTTTTATTCAGTTTGTTTCACTTAGTGTTTCCAAAGTCCCACCAAGCCTGTTTGGGTACATTCTTTTGGTTGAGACACAGGAATGGAGTCATGAGAAAGGAGTCAGAGACTTTGAAGAGTGTTAAACTGATCTAAAGCAAAGCAAACACAAATATACCAACAGAAATGAAAGCTACATGAAACCAAGCATACAGAGAAACAGAGGAAAACTAGTAATAATAGGCAGGAGCAGCAAGCATCAGGAGGACAACTGGAAAAAAAGAAAGAAAGAAAAGGGCAATTAATCAATTAAGCAAAGATAAGGATAAAGGTAAAACAGCTGGTCAAACGGCATAAAAGGAGGCAACTAATTCAAAAACAAAACTGAACAAAATCCATTTTTAAACTAACTTGCTATTCACCCATGTTCCACACTCACTTAATCCTGCTCTGGATCTGATGATGGCTAGATCCGAGCCCAACCCCTGATGGGTAAAATGTGGGTTACACACCCTGGACGAGTTGCATGTGCAATGTTGGGCAAGACCAAACTGAATGGGAGAAACCAAGAACATTACAGATACCATAAACCATGGCTGAATAAATGAAAGATTCTGCACAGAATGGTGAAATATATGTTCAAAAAATTTAATTTTGAAAAAAGTTAAGATGTACAGTTGAACATAAAAAGAGGGTTAAATAGTTTATACTCTGTTTGACATTTGTTGTCAAACAGAGCTTCCCCTGTAACTCCTAAACCTAACCTGTTTAACCTGTCCGTCTGACTCTTGCATAAGACAAGATCAGCAAAGTCTTGGATCTTTGGTTAAAACATAGACAGGCAGGGTATTTTCAAAGATTCCTACCAAACTAAATTGGAGAGCCATGGAAGAAGACAGTACAGAGGACATTGAATCTCTCATTGAAGAGATGGACTATATTCCTGGCCACTTCCACCTGGACCTTAATTTAAACTGTGATCCCACTGGACCAGTCAAGTTGCGACATCGGGACACTTACCTGAAGCAGGAGAGCCTACATGCTGAGTTAGAGGCTGAAGTGGGATATCTTCAATACGCTGTCCGAAATCTTCTAGGCCTACTCGCATTTCACCTTGAACAGCTGGACAAAGCAGAGGAAATATTCAGGTAAATATTCCCTATTCATTTTAGGACAGAGGTTTAGCCAGAAAGCTAAAGCTCAGAGAGCTGTTTTGACTTATACAAGCACTCTCTATTTCTGCATATAAATATGAATTGATACACATTCGTACGAATATATGTCATAGTATATTTTCAGTTGTTTTGTATTATTTAAAACATGTGTTTGCTCTACTTTAAGATACTGGTAGATCATCTAACTGACACTACTTCCTGTTTGCTAAGTTCAGAAACAATATTCTTAAATGAGAGTCAACACATACAGAGTTTAGTCTTTACACGGCAGTAACAGATCTGTAAAGGAAAAAGCTTATACTATGTTAATAGTTCAGTTTGTTGTGTATATAGTTGCTCGGTTAAAAATGCTGGCACTAGTTTGGAGCAGCATTAATCCAAAACACCCCAAAAAATAGGGCGGAAAAGTCCTTCAAGTGCCTTAACTGTTGAGATATTTACACTTGACTAACAATTCTATTGACGGCATCAGTTCAAAAACAATTGTGGATATCTTGTAATTCAGTTTCACCTATGATTTCTGGAATTTCAGGGCCATTTGTAAAGAAGACCCTGGGAATCTGAATGCCTGGGCCAATCTGGGCTGTGTCTATGACAGACTGGGGAGAGAGCTGGATGCAGGAGAATGTGTGGACAAAGTATCCCACCTCATGGGCGTAGAGGCTGGAGAGGCCTCTCAAGAGGAGACCAGACTTTTGGCTGCACGCTGTCTGGCCGAGCAGGCTTACATCTATCCGTATGATGTGGAGCTGGATAGTGAGGCAGAGCTGAGGGAGAGGCTAATGTCAGCGCTGACACTTTACAACAGAGCTCTGCATTATGGCGGTCAACTGGTAAGATGGACACAAACAGTAGATATGAAGCTCTCAGAGGTATATGTAAATGTAATAGAATGAATTAGTATTATTCTGAGACTACCTGATAATACTGTAACATGCCACCATTTTAATAGCTGGAATGTTGATGTTGATAGATCTACATGTAAGACCAATTTGTAAAGACAATAGAGAAATGTGGGATGATATGAGTTTTTTTTTTTCAGGTACCAAAAGAGGAAAAACTCAGCTGGTATTTCAAAATGGCAACCATTTATATAAGGTACAAAGTTAAAGTAAACTTTAATTCAATCCTTCTATGATCAACTTCACAGCAAGTATAAAAAAAATGAAATGTTCTTTTTTCACTTTGCAGATTGGATAACATTTTAAAGACTGATGAGGATTCTGAATACTCCAGACTGTCTCACTACAATAAGGGACTCAAGCTCCTGAAAGAAACATTAGAAACTCAGCAGAAGCAGCACAAAGGTAGAGATTAAGTCTCCGATTGAACCTCCACAGCGGTGATTCAAGAATTAAAAATTCTCTATGCAGATGTCACCAAAAATTGATTGACGGAATTAAAAGAAAAATCTAAGCAGGATGAGGCAGACAATATGGAGAGAGAGAGATCAATCTAGTCAAGAGTTAAGTGAACATGAGAGACCATGACAGATACAAATTCACTTTGAAAAGTTCATATGGATCAAAGGTTTAAAAACTCACTGAATGTACTGGTTTACAGAACATGTAACTGTTGCTGGATACAATTTTTGATAATCTCACTTATTTCATAATCATCTTTTTCTGATAGCTCTTTCCTGGTGTTACGTTGGCATTATGTTGGAAAGGAAGGAGGAGTTTTCGTCTGTGCCCATGTCCATACACGATTGTGGCTTCTCTGCCTCTGATCCCCTGTCCTGTTATGGAACGGTAAGTCAGCTCGCATTTTTCAGTAGTCAAAATAAATGTCACGTGGAAATAATGTACTTCTTAGAAAACCGGACAATTAAAAATGAAATGCAGCTCTCATACCAAGAGCAGTGGGATCTATATCGTTTTATCATAGAAGAGTTTACAGTAGAAATGCTGCAACAGCTCTAAACTCATATATTTATCTGTTTTCAGGCCATAAATATGGCCAGTGATGATGCATTCATTCTGAACCTTCTGGCTAAAGTCTTCTTTCATCTGGGAAAACATGAAATGGCCACAGGGATCTGTAACATGGCCCTGAATGTTCTACCAGACCCAGAGCTCAACTGGCAGGCTTACTGCACTCGTGCTAAGGTGCTGCGCGTGAGACATATCAAATGCATGGGTTGTTGCCACATCATTTCACGATATATACATAAATCTATTTACACATACTTATATATATATATTTTTTTTTTTCAGATCAGTATGATTCTATATGTCAAGGACCTGGAGAAAGCAAAGCATGGGCACGGTGGGGTCCCTGACCGACAAAAGCTCACTGAAGCTAGAAAAGATTTGGACAAGGTGCTCTCTGTCCGCCCATGTCTACGAACTCACCTAGAGGTGGCTCAGGTAAAGGCCCCGTCTGTCCCAGTAAAACGGATTTTTCACTGCAAGACCGACAATTGATATAATCATGTCTTTATTTCTAGGTCTACTACTACATGGGGGTAGATGCACTCCAAGAGAGCATTTTGGTGGACGAGGGTGCGGTAAACAGCGCTCTGGTCAGTCTGTCTCATGCCCTCCAGTTTGAGCCAGGCGATAGCTTGCCAGACCTGCACATACTCAGGGGACGCTGCCTTCTCATTAAGGGTGAAGAGCAGAATTCCGCAGACTGCTTCAAGCAGGCCATGGAGTTAGAGAGAGCAGGGAGCGCAGACACCACGGCGCTGCGCTGCCTCCTACAGGCCCTCCTGGCTCTGTTCACGCAGGGAGGCCCCGACCCCAAAGCCGCCGTGGAACAGCTGGAGCTGTGGGTCCGCAAGGCAGAGCAGAAGTATCCTGGAAAGATGGTCAAATCTGAGCTGAGATCCCTTTACAGGACACACACGGAGGAGGTCACAGAGTTATCCAAGGCTCTGATCAGGACAGGACGCCTGGACCTCGTGAGGAAACTGCTGGAAACTGTAGTGCCGGAACAGCTGGTTAAGAAGAGACCAGTTGCCAGATCTTTCTCATGCACATGAAGCAACACCAGAAATGAAAAAACTTAGGAATGTCTTTATACGATTTAACATCTACACACAGAGCCCTATTTGATTTCAAAACATGATGTTTGTAAAACTGACATACTCTTTTTCCCTTTTTGACATTTTGTAATAAAGGTAATGCCACTAAGTTATTATCTTGTCTCAATGCTGCTTTTAGAAGCGCACCTGCATGTCTGAAGACATAATACTGGTGTCTTTACCGTGTTCTTGTCCTTCTTGGAGGTGTTGGGTCATTCTGTACAGGCCCAGCTGCTGCTACAATATCTCACTACCAGCAGATGAGTTTAGACAGCGATCACATTGTCCAGGATGTTCAATCTTTGTATACATTGAAAACAAAAAGTTTCTATGCGAGAACAGAAGAGCCCCCATAAATGAAATTTATACAATAAATTGTTGTTGCAATAAAATCTAAAACAATAATGTGTCCATATATGTTGCCGTTTTTTATGTACTCAAGAAAAACAAAACATATCTGTTATCTGTCCTGATGTAAAAGCACAAAGGTTTGCAATAAGGTCCTCATAATGAAACTACCTCAACTCATACCTCACACATCATATTACTTTGAAATATAACTCGATGCTGTCTGACCCCACAAGGTAGCTGATCACCGTCTGTGGCTGAACGTTCAGATCCAATGGCAGAACAGCAGCCGACGAACTGGAGCAGTGAACTGCTGGACTGCTTCGAGGATACAAACACTTGTAAGTCAAACTTTTACTTCTTGTAAGCCTTCTTATGAGAACTTTTTAAGCTGTAGCTGGATCTTTGTGCTTTTTCAGGTTGCTATGGTTTCTGGTGCGCTCCTTTCCTCGCCTGCACTGTTTCAGGAAGGCTTGGAGAGTGGTACTTTCTGCCCTTGTGTGATGCCCTCACTGGGTGTACATCGCTTTTCTGTTCGGTGCCTACGTGCATTCCTCCTGCAGCCTTGTCTCTAAGGGTCGCTATTCGGAAGAAATATGGCATCAAGGTATGATGCACTGATAACACTGACATAAGCTGATTTAAAAGTGAGTATGATGTTTGAAACCATGTCTCAATGTTCGGGTTTACAGGGTTCCCATCTTAAAGACATGGCAGCTACGTGCTGCTGCTCCTGGTGTGCCTGGTGTCAGATGCATCGTGAGTTGAAACGTCGCACCCAAGTTCCGGTTGTCATCAACCTGCAGTCTCAAACTACTGTGAACATGCAGCCTCCCGTTTTTGTGGGAGGCATGCAGCCTTTCCCAGTGATGATGATGCCTCCACAGACATCTTAAGCTTCTTGCAGGAGCCCGTTAGTAGTCGTCATGACTTCTGGTTCTGATGGATTCAGATTCTCGTCATTAATACACAAGACAGTGATTCAGCTTTTCTTGAGCTGAACTTCTGTCTTATTAGTCAAAGTTGATTCTATAATCCTAAATAGTTTTAAATTATCTTTTAAATGATTTAATTTGATTTTCAACTATTTTCTGATTAGTACATACAATGTCTTAGCTTCATATCAAAATCAGAAAATGATTAAACTTATTTTTAAAGACGTAGGGGGTGGGGTAGAGCAGGTAGCTGACATCTCAACCGAATGATGAAAAATCATTTTGGTGTAGGTGAGTTAATGAAAAATTGACACAAAGTCTCAAACACCTGACTTAAAACAGAACATCTACTAGGAAATAGCTTTGATTGCCTATGTGAGAGAAACAAACTGAAAGCATGAGCTCTCTTATGCTCTTTGAAGAATGGTGGGTGCGAATTTATTAACAAATAAAAATGAAGGGGAAAAAACGACATGTCTTGTCAGTTCTAAACATTTGTTCCACTGCAGATCAGTGTCAATTGACAATATGTTTAATATATACATGTATGTTAGGGTTATTGGTGATCCAGGGTTTAAAAATCTTCGACCTTATGAAGTTTTGTATTTTGTTCTCTTTGGTGCTCACTGAATAAAAGAAACCGTGAAATCCTGGTAGAGTATTTAATGTCTGATAAGGATTTATCTCTTTGTATTTGAAAAGCAGCCAATAATTTTCCAAAATTTCTTTAAATCTTGAAGTACATGTAATTTATGATATCCCTTTGATAATTTTTTAGTTCTTGTGAGATAACACAGCCTATGGAGCCTATGGCTCTTAAGTCTATAGGTTTAAGTCTACATTTTTTGTGTATTTCTTTCAGCACTCTCCTACTGCTTGGATATGATTTAGATTGAATCATTTTAGAACCTGCTGCTGCAGTTATAAACATTCCGTCTTCGAATCTTCCCTGAGATTTACTGAGGTTATCTCTATTAAAGCAGATGTTTCTGTTTTTCCTATGCTGATTTGAATGCTGTGTGGCTGAAAGAACTTCTGATGGAAAACTGGTTATGTTTTGAGAGTGACAGCCGTGGCATGTCACTTGGCAACATAAAATTCCATAATTTGTCAATTCAGCTAACTAAGCTTTTGGATAAATCAAAACCTCAAATCAAGATGAGCTGAATAATATAAAAACAGAAAAGAAGAGATGCAGAAGAAGTACAATTTGGAGAAAAGGTGAAAGAGTATTAATCCATTCTTCCCTTCAAACATAATTAAAGAATGACATCACTGGCATGGTGAGCAATGCAATCAGCATTGCATTTACGGTATGTAGACAACATGTTGTTTCTTTCTTTTCCTGAATCTATTTGGCCATATTCCATCTACTCCCAGGATGGTTCATATTCTTGCAGGTCTCCAGTTAAGTTTCTTCCTCACTTGTTTTGGTGGTTTATGGCTAAACATAACTAAATCCAACAAGGCAACAATCATCTTAAAGGGAGAAAAAGGGATACATACCTCATTGCATGCAGCTAACAGTTCAGCAACTTAATGCTTTTTATACTTAAATCTTTAATAAAGATACTTGATTCCTTTTCCAGATATCAGATAACTTCTGAGAAGAGGACAAACAAACACAATTAAACAATTAAAAAAACGCTTTAGATGCAGGATAAAATACAGGAAGAAAAAACAAGTAATACAGTAGTCTATACTTCATGACAAAAAAAAGTTTATCTTTAAAAAAAAAAAAAAAAAAAATCTATACATCAAAACCATAAAACCATGTGACCATGTCCATGTGTTTTCTTAGAAGTTAAAATGAGCAAGTGCTTGATTCGTTTCATACTACAATACTGGTTGTACAGCTTTTTTTTAAGTTTCAGAACGGAAGAGATTCCAATCCTAATAGAAACCATAGGTTCTTCATTCTCAGCTGCAGACGTGTTAAGGCAGCGAGCACCTCGACAAGGTAAAGTAAGAACTTTTAATTTAACAATGAGACCTATAAGATTTCAGTCTGCACATTTAACTAAACTTTAGCTGAATTGGGGGGTCTGGGTAAGAAAACAGTTCAGAGACAAAACTGGAATGGAACAGACATGATTAATTAACTATATTTGTATTTTTATCATCTAAATATTCACGTATTTACATGCTTATCAGTAAAATGTAAAGTGTTTTAATAACAAACTGTTATAGAAGTCTTGGTGATTTTGTTTTCAATCTTAACTCTCTGTTTGCACCTGTATAATTATAGACATTTTATAAATGTAAGTATTTTATATAGGGTAATATGTAAAAAAAAAATTGCTTCATATATGTACTTTTAATACATTAATCTGCTCAGTAGTTCAGATATTTGTTTTACTTTCAGTTAGTGAATTCCTTTCATTTAGATGTCTGGAAATCATCCACAAATAAACACAGAAGTTTACACAGAGATATTAATTTAATGCTAGTGAAAACAAAGATTGTTGTCTTTCACTTGCAATATCTTTGTATCAAAATTTGAAGAGCAGTAATTAAAGGACCACACTCATTAAAACAGCAGGAACTGGTAATGACGTTGGAAGACTTACAAGTTTTGCCAGAGGGTAGATTCCAACCTAAGCGGTGATGAGAGATGTAGTCATACACAATAATCAGTTCCTCCACTGAGTATATGCAGGTTGCTGTTTGTTCATGTATTCAAATATGAGCCATAAACGCTTCCCCTAATCTTCATTATGCTTTTGTTCCCAAATCCTGTTACAATATCACAGTATTCTCTTTTTCTTTCTTTCTTTTTGACCTCACAGGGAAAGCACTTCGGTCCAATGGCAGAAAAAGAGCTGACAGACTGGAACAGCGGTCTCTTTGACTGCTTTGAGGATATGAAGATATGTAAGTCAATCTTGTCCGTGCTCACTTGTGAGTGGGTGAGTAGTAATTTTGACACAATAAAGCATAAAATCACTGTGACTCCTCTATCTTTTTGTTTACAGGTTGTTATGGTTTCTGGTGCATGCCCTGCCTTGCCTGCACCGTTTCAAGAAAGTTTGGAGAGCATCAGTGTCTGCCCTTATATGATGTGTGCGGTACTGCCCTCCTCGTTATGTTTGGGATACCTATGATTGTTCCTCCGGCAGCCTTGTCTATGAGAGCTGCCATGCGAACCAAATATGGCATTAAGGTACGATGCACTGACAACAATGGCCTGGAATAAATCAGAAGTGTGGATGCAAAGCAAAATCACGTTTTAATGTGCTGGTTCGCAGGGCTCCCTCTGTGAAGACGTGCCCATTTCATGCTTCTGTGTGGGGTGCTCCTGGTGTCAAATGTACCGTGAGGTGAAACATCGAGAGAAAGACCCTGTAGTCATCAACATGGTTAATCAAACTGTCGTCAGCATGCAGCCTACCCAAGCAGCCGGCATGCAGCATCACCCTTCTGTCCACATGCACCAGGGCCCTGCAGTCAACCTGCAGCATCACCCTTCTATCGACATGCACCAGGCCTCTGCAGTCAACATGCAGACTGCTGCTGTCAACATGCAGGCTGCTGCTGTCAACATGCAGGCTTCTGCGGTCAATATGCAGAATTATGATGTGATGATGGTGCCTACAAACCCTCCCCCAGCTGGTTTTAAAACCCAAGACGGTGTCTTTATGATATCAAACTGACACCTGTGGAAGTTGAATTTGTCTCGAGAATCACCTGCTGTTTAAATTTAGCTAAACACCAAATTGTCGTTTTTAATTGTGTTATGATTAATTTTATTTGCAGTTTGATGCAATTGATTTTCTTTTACAGTTTTCGCTAAATTTACAGTTTAGCGAAAATGATATAAAATCATTGATGATTTGATTTTCATTTATAATCCTAAAGATGTGTATGATTGGAATGATAACTAATGAATTGTGGGAGCATTGTTGGGGCTTAGGTAAAGTGTTGTTTTAAACCTAGAGTAAAAGCTACGCAAATGAATCCAAAGCATATCAAATCAAAACTAATTAATTCAACCAAAAAAATTAATAAAAAAGATTAAACAAACTTCACTCTGAACTCTGTGTGGTTTAATCTCATGTCTACATTTAAGACTACCATAATTTTCATAACAATAAGCATGTTACCAGTGTCGATTTTTTTCCCTTCATGATTTTTCAATGCATTCTAAATTCAGCGTGCATTGTCTAAGATCTAAGATAGAAATAATTTTCCCAAAAATTTGAAAATATCACAGAAGGTATCCAGCTTGCATTCATTCAGGACTTTCTTGCGGTGTGGTTCTTACTATTTAATTAATGTTATGTTAATAAAAAATGAACGTATAAAACATTGAACGTTTAACACGAGGCATTTTACTATGTCATACGTTTACTGAAAAGGGAAAAAAAATTTCCTTTGATCAAATTTCCATATTAACAGTTGATTCCCACTGCTTTAGTGTGTTTGATCAAGATTTATTTAGACTTAATAATCTAAAGATAACAAACTAAATAGATTATATTGATTTAATCCCTTTTCTGATAGATCTCTGTTTATTGAAGCCATTCAACACTGGAAAGATGTCCTGCCTAGATTGAGCCATGGCTTCTCCATCACTCATTCACAGAGCGGCTAGTTATGTTCTGGCATCATGGATTTTCAGTAAAATAATTTCTAATAAAAATTTTGAAAACATTTTGTGACGTGACCTTACAAGAATATATTTTAATTACATTATCTATTTTTTTTATGCTGTACACAGCTTTTACAACAACTTCCATTTGAAGACTTCTGATTTTATGTTTTTTTTCCCTGCTTACATTTTGGATATGTTTGTAATTATTAATCGATTAGGCTTAATTCTATGACTTTATGTCGACCGCATTTACTAAACAAGTACCGTATAACATCTAATTCTGGAGATAAAAAATGTACTACAGTGCTATTTTCAAATATAGATCATATCTAGAGATTGATAATAAAAAAACATTATTTTACATTATAATCTAATGTTTAATTTTTTTTAAAAGTGTGTGATCTAACTTTCAGGATTTCTCATCATTGCAAAACTCCCAGGCTCCCTGGTTTATGTTTAATATAAAGCTGCAGCTCTGAATCTTTTTGCCGTGTCTCTAATGCATGAAAGTTTCCTTTTCCTCTGGTATTCAGGCTGGACATGCACCAATGAAAGCTATGAATAAACAGGTTAAACAACATTTTTATTCTGGTCTTACTCCTCCCTTTGACTCAAAACGTGAATCTTCCTCATTGGTAGTGAAAATGAAAGTAAAATGCACATTTTAACTAACATTTAATCTTTTGTGTGGGTTCACAGGACATGATTTCAAAAAGGTGCCGGGGGTCCAGAAGGTTTACAGAAGACACCTCCAAATGGTTGAGTGCTGTGTTTTAAATGCACAATTACAACCTATAAAAGTAAAAATAACATCTTGAAACACAGGACAAACCAAATCAATTTTTACGTTTGAAAATGTAAACATTTTCAAATGTAGCTTAAGTAAACTTCACTTTTCAATTTAATGATGGCTGAAAAGTCATTTTTGTCTTTGTGGACAAATACAGAGCATGAGATATTTCTAAAGGGCAGGGTTAGAACACGCAGATATATTAAATGGATAGATGGATGCATAAAGGATTGAATTCGGGGTTGATAGCATAATTTCTTTGTGTGTACAGCGGGTCTCAAACACTTATTTAGATCAACAAATCTGCTTGTATGGATGTGTTAAGCTGAGTGAGGATAAAGGCTTGACTTAGTGTGACGAGAATATCCCTGTAGTAAGTGAATCAAATCCCATCAATTAATATCTTGCTGAAAAATGATGCCAAACAAGTGTGAAAATCTGATCTACTGTCAGCTAAAAACACCCAACAAGTTGATCTTAAGGTCTTTACAGGAAACAAAAAAACATTACAGGGAGCTCAAACAGATTTCTTATTTCATCCAAAAACCAAATATTTAAGAAGTCAGTCCTTTAGGGTTGAGGCGATGTGCATTTAGAGTCCAAAACCAAAAACTGAGCGTATTCATAGTCCTTGTACCTCCTTTCCTGATAAAAACTGCTTTAAGAATGATGAGCCTTTCACCAGAACAATGAAGCTGGGCGTGCCTCCTTTGACAAAAAACCTGGTAGAGAACAGAAAAAGGACTGAATCAAGAACTGAATTCAACAGGGAAACTGTGACTGAGATACAGTTATAGTCCAACACAGGAAAACAACAAACCTGGTGTGCTGCAGAGCTTTCAGCAGGGGTGTGTCTGGGTGCACCTGGAAGAGCGTCTCCTTTTCCTCATCTTCAAAGTACAGCTGCGAAAAGTTTCACCCAGATTGAATTCAAAGCAAATACTGATCTGACAAAATCACAACTTGATGTTTAGAAAGGCTCAGATCATTTTTACTCAATGCCTTAAATTTACCGCTTTGCAGTTAAAGCACAGCAACACTTTTTCAGACCTAAAATGTTTAATTTAAATGGCACATTCACATCGATTATATCATAATGAATTAGCTTCTTCAAATGTGTGTATCATTCTTTACTTTCACTTACACAGAAAAACACAAACCTGGAGATTTTGGGGCTGGTATTTTCTATCTGTGTCCCAAGGTGGAAGCTCTTCTCCAAACATGACAGCCAAGTGGTCTATGAAACTGACCAAGAGACAGACACGCCAAGAAATAAGGGATTTTTCAGTCTAATTATTTATCAGACCTACATTTTATCAAAAAGCTGAGAAAATTAGACAGGAGTTATGAAAAATGGGTCACACTGTCTTCTTTGAGACTGTGTGGGCATTTTCTTTGTGCTCCTTACAGATAAGAAAAAAAGAAGCTTTTAGTTGACAGCTGTGAAACATAAAAACATGCAACGTATTTTTTCATCTTGAATATCTTACCAGTGGTTCTCACAGAAGGCTGAGATGAAATCGCTCTGCTGGTGTTCAGGGTAGAGGAAGAGGACGGGCCAGTGCAGAGAGCCCTGTTGGTCCAGGAACACCTGAGCCCCAGTGACCTCCTGAGAGCTGAGTCCATCCAGGCTGAGCTGCGCCATCGCTGCCGAAGAGCTCTCATCTTCATCCTCACTGTCTGAACGAGTCCTCCCAGGCTGAAGGAGCTTGATCCCTCGATCCTGCATGGAAAGGACAAACGTATATCATATAGCCAAAAGAAAGTGTGAATCTGATGTCCAATAAAACAAACAGATAGAAGAATAAGAGATCCAGGTATACTGAAATGGCTTTTTGTGTGTGCGTGTGTTGATCGACATGGACAGGCGATTTAAGATTCTGTGAAGAAGCTGAATCCACACCTACCTTTATGGCACCCAATAGAGCCTCTTTCTCACCATACACCTTTTTTTCTTTGGCTTTTGCCCTCCTGGAATCTCTCTCAGCTGCTCTCTAAGAGACCACAAATGGACAACTTTACTTTGGCAAAAGAAAAAAAAAATTACAAAGGAAATGAAAATAAGGAAAACTGGAACCAAAGACTAACTTTGTGTTTATCTGCAGCAGCTCTCAGCTCACGCAGCTTTTTGTCAGTGGGATTGGCCTTCAGGCCCTCGTCACACCACTGGACCGCCTCAGAAAAGTTCCGAAGCTCCATGCAGCACTGAGCACCTGCAGAAGCATGAACAATATATCCATAGGTATGACATTTTGACATATTCTCTGTACAGTGAGTGTGTGGGGGCTGTAACTGAGTGTAATACAGGCCTCTGATTAAGGCTTTGAGGTGGTCTGGTTTGATCTTCTTTGCAGATGCAGCATCATTCAGAGCAGACCGCATATTACCTGGGCGACAAAACAAGATGTGTCATACTAAATAAAATGTGAGTTCTTTGTTATAGGAATTAATCTACGCTACAACAACCTGACAAAAAAACACACAGCATCCTTTAAACCTGAACAGCGGGAGTGTTGGTACCCAGGTAGAAGTGTGAAGCCGCCCGGTTTGTGAGGAGAACAGCGGTGAGCTCCTGGTCCCCACACTTCTTCTTTAAAGCTGCTGTGTATGACACCACGGCCTTTTTGTAGTTCTTCTCTTTAAAAAAGGCATTCCCTTCATCCTTTAAGCTCTTGGCCTGTTCTGAAGGAGAAAAGGGGTGTCACATTTACAAATCCACTCTGACAGAGGCACAACATCCATTCGTTTTGAACAGGACCAGCTACCCTCTGGAGGTCGGTCTTCGTCGTGGATAATGGACTGGAGACAGGCTAATTCTGGGTACTTTTGTGGGTCGATTTCTTCAGGTGCGGATTTCATAAACATGGGTACTTTATTGAACTCCTGAAGGAAATAAACATATATTTTTTAAAAAGGATGGAAAGTAAAAGCACAACTGAAACGTAGATTACTAAAAACACGATTAGGTCCGTTTCTGATAAACTGAGTTTTAAGTAGTGGCTTACCTCTTCCCAGTTATTCTCACTGAAAGCGTTTTTATATCTCTCTGACTTGAATCTGTCCATGAACTCGTCCATGTCGTCGTCGCTGTCACTGTGCATCTCCGTTGACGCCATTTTTGCTCAGTCTAAATCTATGTTTATGTTTAACTAGATGTCAGATTTATGATTCTCAAGACTCTCTAAAATGTGACAATCGTTGGTTTGACTGAAACCTCCGTTGCACGGCGTTATTCCAGACAGGGATTATTGTCTTGTTTACACGTGTGGGCGGTACAGTCCAGTACATTTTCCGTGCAGAAACGCAGTACCTAAACTTTAGTTCCACTGCATGTAAATAAACCACTTTGCTTCTGTACTAATCGGCCTTCTCTAATAGAAAATAATTACATACAGTTTCAAGAACTATTCAAATGTTTATCATTAGGTAACAGCATCTGTACAATATGTTATTTTAAGAAAATAATACACTGTTTTTGTGAAATAAATCTTTACTAATTTAAATGATGATCTAGATCGATCTGACTTTTGATATTTTGTCTCTTAGGGGAAGTTAGATCTCAACTTGGAAAAATAATACACATTTTCTTCTTTGATTAGTTTTGAGATGATTTTGAAATCCTCCAACTTAGATCACATATTTAAATCAGTAAAATATTTTGATAAATCATCAACATAATACTGTATATCGTTGCTGCATAGTCAGAAATTCACAATTCTAAAATAACAATTCTAAAATAACTTTTCTGTCGATACATTTACTTTTCTTTTCATTTCATTTACCGGTCATGTTTGTTGGTGATCATTTCAATTCACCCATGCAAAATAAATGAATGAAAGACAGCAAAACACTGAGGCTTTGACTCCCCTTTTTATTTATATCATCATAATCAAATACTTTAGACACCCAAGGTTTAATATGCAGATATCGTTTCAACAGCGAGTTTCAATCCTTGTGAGCAATAAGGTCTTTAGATTTAAAAAAAAGGTGTTAATCATACAGTTTCCACTCCTCCCAGTAGATCCAGCACTGCTTCTTTACTGAGAAATGTTGTCTCACCCGTCTTCTGACAAATCACCTCAAACTTTGGTGTTTCCTCAAGAGCTGCCTGTCCTACTACGACAACATATGGGTAGCCTAATCTGCTGGCATCCTTCAGTCTCTTTCCAATGGTCATCTGTGTGCGGTCATCAAGAACAACCTCATTTCTCAGATGAGGAATAGCTTCCCCTACTGTGTGAACAAGTTCCTCAGCTAAGACAACTGCATTGTCCACCTTGCTTCCTTTTTTAGGAGGTAAAACACAAACCTGATAAGGGGCAATAAGACCCGGCCAGCAGATCCCTTCTTCGGTTGACATAACCTCAATGGCAGCGGCGAGTATGCGGGTCACCCCAAGCCCATAGCAACCCATCTCAGCAACAGTCGGCTTGTTCTCTTGGTTGCTGAAGGATGCCTTGAATATGTGGGAGTACTTTTTACCCAAGTAAAACGTATGACCCACCTCTATTCCCTTTGACTCTATCAGTTTGCCATTTTTACACTGCGGGCAGTCGGTTCTGTCTAGTGACAGAGTCTCCACATTAGCAGAGAAGGAGCAGTCTCCACAGACAAGAAGCCGATCCTCGCCGATATCTGCCGGCAGCTGGAACTCGTGGGAGAGTGTACCACCGATGTTTCCCGTGTCTGCGTTCACCTGAACGCAACGCAGGCCCAACCGGGCAAAGAGCCGCATATACGCTTGGCACACAGATCTGTAAGTGTGATGAGCTGCTTCTTCACTCACATCAAAGGAGTACATGTCCTTCATGTAAAACTCCCTCCCCCGTAGAAGGCCAAACTTTGGCTTCGGTTCGTCTCTGAACTTGCGGGTGATCTGTTGTTTTTTTTTTTTGTTTTCAAAGAGAAGCCACAGGTTAAAAAAAAGAACAAAATATGACAACAAACACACTGACAGCAGCAGAGCGTACCTGGTAAAGAAGCAAAGGCAGCTGTTTGTATGAGAGATTTGCCTGGTGAGCAACGAGGGTCGTCACAGCCTCCTCATGTGTCGGACCCAAGCAGTAGTCGGCGCCGTGGCGGTCTTTCAGACGGAATAGCTCCTTTCCCATCAAATCCCAACGCTCACTAGTTTTCCAGAGATCAGCCGAGCACAAACTGGGCATGTCCAGCTTCTGCCCACCAATCTCGTGCATCTCTTGGTCAATCACCCGCACCTGACAGGTAAAACACTGGAGTTAGGATTTCACAGTGAAAAAAGAAAACTTGACAACCTTTTCATCAGGCTCATTAAAGAGAAATTAATATCTATGCCGTCAGTTAGCAACTCACAATTTATCCAAGTGTAATAAAACATGTGAATTCATTAGTAAATCATTCAAATAAATTTACCAACTTCTCCATGGAGCGGACCATGGCAGGGAGGTAGTAGTAGCAGCCTGGGTTGGATGGATGAATGAGCCCCGCCTGCTGCATGAGCATCTGGCTCTTGCAGGTCATCTCTCCGGCCAGCCGGCTGTCCTGTCCCACATCACGCAGGTGTGAGGGCTGGTAAAGCCGGGACACCAGAAGGGAGGGCTTGATACATCTGGAGTGACTGGAAGCAGAGACAGCTGCATGCTCAGGATGTCCTGAATTGCTCCTCTTTGGAAGGATTAGGGTCCTGTGGAGACGGTGAGAGAGTCTCTTCCAGATGTGATGCACTGAAGGCTCCATGACACGTCCACATGTGTTGCTATTGCAGAGACAAGATGACACAGATAAGTCTGAGCTGAAACCATTAACTTCAAATAGAAATTGTGGATTGGACAAAAATCTGAGGGGTCAGTTTCTTCCCCACAGACCCGTTTGTAAGCATAATAATTGTGTGAATAATCTGTCAACAACAGAAACGACATTTCAGTTTCTAAAAAGCCTGGGAAGAGAAAACTACTAAGGCATTCATTTGTATATCTGTTAAGCCCTAACGTATCGTAGAAGGCATTAAACATAGACTGTCTCAGCTTGGAAAATTCTAACATGTGATATACATTCATAGGACACAGCAACAAATAATAAATCAATAGTTTTAGCATTTCATAATCCTAATGTCACCTGCATTTCAGAGCAACACATTAGCTTGCAAGTCAGAAAGGCTAAGGTTAGCATCCTGATTCAACACACAGTAAAGATCAGCCCGGAGAAGTACAAAGAGACACTCACTGCCAAACACCCACTCTATACCTGCCACGGTGCTATCATTCAATTAACAAAATGTGGAACTTAGATCTCGACGACTAATGGTAACAACATTCAATAATAGTTTCCATGCTTCACGTTTGTCCTCCACCAAGCACACCAGAGGCACCGTAGCCTCACAGCGCCACCTAGCGGCCTGGAGGAGGTCATGAACTCGTTTCAGTGGTTGTTCAAAGGTTTTATCAAACTAAACAAATGAGCGAAATGATAAATGATAAATAATAAAAAAAGAGTTTAAGATATCTAAACGAGAGAATTGTCAAAAGCTAGGCAGAGGATTTTTATGTGCATAATATGACAGTTGCAATTTATCTGTATATTCTGAATAATTTATTTTTCCCCTTTTTGCTTGTATCTGAAATGCAAGCTTTTTACAACCCGTTCCATAACTGTCACACATCATGTCTGAAATAAATCTGATACTTGTAAAGCCAAACATCCCAAATTGAACGATCTTCACATCAAATAAAACTATTTCCAAAAGTATAGAATAAAGGTTTGCTCTAAAAAGAATGTGCACATGAAAATCACCCACGTTCCTCTGAAACGTACTTTAAAAAAATATTTTTATGGTCATACTCTGTAATGTCAAAATCTCAACTTCATGAGATGAAAACAGGAAATGTTTACTATGAAAAGGACAGATGCGGTTCAGAGGAAGTGATGAAGGTTAAATGTTCTGAAAACACATTTAATGAGTCATAGTGAATATTGACATTACTTTACTTCCTCACTGAGTCACGCAGAGTTTCTGTGCACATGTTAAATAAAAAGTTCTCAGATCTGGTTTAAGTGACCTGGTAGATGTTTTTGTCAGCAAACACACCGTGAGGCTTTTGTTTCTTTAGAAAAAGGAAAACGAACGGTTTCAAAATGTCACAAAATAAAAAGCAGATGTAGACTACTGAAGTTGTGATCATACAATGTTTTATTTTAGGTTCTTATCTAACACTGGCCATTTTTCACTCGTGATAATAATGATGTGTAAGAAAGACAGAACATACAAATGTTTGTTCATCGTTATGCATGTGAAAATATCACAAGACACCATTTTTTAAAACCTGTTTGGTATGTTTGAACTAGGATCTTGCTTCTAAATTATGTATTAATTACTGTCACATGTTAAAGGCTCAATCGCATTCACACAGCAAAGGAAGTCCTTCAGTTTAGACCTACTCCTGAAATGTGCAAATAAACGTGGCTTTCTGTCAACAGTAATCTGAAATAATGTTTTCTGTCCAGCACATGATAGTTGCAGAATTAAATTATATGTATGTTGTAAGATATAACCCCCTGTTTAATTTTGAATGGATATTGGTGACCAATATTGTCATAAAAGTCTGCCTGATCTTCAGTGCTTTCTTATGTCTGTGAGACTTGACATGGATAATATCAATAATATCATACATACTGATAATATCATAAAATGCTGCAAGCAGAAAACATGCAGCAACATGATTTTTATATTTCTATTTAATTTGCCTTTCCTTATGAATATTCGCTTTGAGTATGTTCTCTAAAAAAAAAACAACAGACAGCTTCCACGAGTCAGTATTGGATAGAATATCCGAGTCTTTGTTTCTGTGCGATCAATGTGTTTTTGTTGAACCTGCTGCACTATCACATACAATCTTTTCTTTTGTTGACATTATGCTGTTCTTCAGTCTTTGTCAATGCACTTTTACCATTTTTATAGTATTTTATGCCTGCAATTTTAAACCATTATTCCTCCCACGCAGGCACCTGTTTGTCGGCTCACATGTATCTCTCTGGCTCTTCTTTGCAGGTGGAGCCTCTAGACGCCATCTTAACAATCAGACAGATAGACCAAAGATACACATGCTGATATCTTCCTGAACCAATTAGGTTTGTGACTGTCTCATCTATTTATCCTGTGGCTCTCTTTTAAGAGTGTCCAGAGAAAAAGGGCGGCTGAATGTCTAGGTGAGATACGAATAATTCCATTAAGACAGATTCTATCTCCAAAGTTCATATGGTTTATTTGGCTTTACACTGAGCCTTTAGTTGAATTATCTCTTTAACTGTCATAAAGGCTTGGCCAAAGGCTTCTGAGAAGTGCAGTTTAAAAATGTACTCAGTGACAGTAATCATCTACTTACTGTTAAAGGTTAAAAAAAAAAAAAGACTGAAGAAAACAAAAGCAAAATAACAACATGATGTAAAAGCTCAAAGAAAATTACTTGAGCGGATCCAAAACAAATCTGCACATTAAATGAAAAAAACAATGGCATGACTTTAAATTGTGCCATCTGTTATTGATATGGAAATTCCATTTAACTTGACTCAATCCACTGAACTATAATCTGGTTGTCGGAGCAGGTAATTCTTACATCACATTTGCTGCTCCATTTGAACTAAGCTCCTCAAATTCATCCCATTTACAACGATCTCAGGAGTCATCTATACTGCAGCTGACCTATCTGAGACAAATCACTGCAACTAGGCCTATTTTCTAAAGTTACAGCACTTGGGAAATAGACATCTCAAGTTTTTTGCAGTCGTAGAATTTTTGCATGCTACTTGAATATATAAAGAAAAGGCATGTTGTATCCTTGTAATTTGATACAAAGTAATTACTTTGCACCATGGTGGGAGGATGCCTTTTCTGCTGTCCCACCATTGCAACCCACATTGCTGGTATCAAACATGTCTATTACAGAATTGTTAATTGGGCTAATAAAATGATCTGGGAAAAGTAAAACCAGATGAGAAAAAAATAAAACAGATAATGCATAATATCTATATTCCTAGTGAAACACCCACACTCCCAACTAGATGCAATCAGGAAACAAATAGAAAAGAAGAAAATGAAACAATTTTAAACAAGACTAAATGTTACATTTTGAGAGTATGTCATGGACATTTGTCTATAGTCGTAAACATGTTATGTGCTTCAACATAATCCGTACAGTCAGACAAAATCAGATTTATTGTGACAAAAGAAGCCCTAGTTCTTTTTCTACAACAACAAACACTCATGGTTTATCACTTCTACGTAAAAAAAACCTGTGAGAAATGACCCCTTATGTCATAGCTGTGCTGCATACACAAGAAATGAAATTAAACTTGTTTTTTGTTAGCATAGGGACAGACTCACATCGTGTCGAGTTAACATATGATGTCACAGACATCCTAAATGGGGTCTCCACTACTAATGATCGAACTAAAACATCACACTGAGTATCTTGTCACTCCATCCGTTGTACCATAATGACCGCATGATGGACTGTAAACATTGACTTTTTTCCTCTCGTATAGCCCAAACTGCTGTAAAGAGAAAGACAAGCTGGCCATCAGAGTGTTGTAAACATGCAAAACATCTGTTTGACTGCAGAGGGAATCACTCAGCATCCCTTAATTAGCCTCACAGTGCACTGAGGGTCAGTGCAATTGGCCTGAAATCACATAATGCGAGGGAGGCAGAGGAGGCCGCACCTCAACTAATATGATTGTCAGCTGGGGGTTGTAAAAGGCTTGTGGTCGTAACTCTGCTGTAGATGGCTGAAAATGGTGATGGTGGAGATAACCGGAAGCATTAAAACTATCTATGTGTGTGTGTTTGTCACTGGATTGGCTGAGGACCAGATAAAGGGAGGTGGAGAAATGATCGGCAGGGATGTCCTAAAAGGTGGATGGTATATAACACGGGGAGATGCGTCCAGAGGAACGCAAACTTGAAGAGAAGATAACAGAAAAATAACTCCAAGCACCTGCAGTGGGTTTGGAAGAGCAACACAAAGCCCCGGAAGAGACAGCCCGGTATCCAGCATGCGTGCCCTGGTGGTTTTGCCTCTACTGCTGTGTGTTGTGATGAGCGCTCACCAAGCGAGAGCAGAGGTGATGGCGGTGAAGCTGTGCGGTCGAGAGTTTCTGAGGGCAGTCGTCTACACCTGCGGAGGCTCCCGTTGGAGGAGATTCTTCAGTGAGCCAGACGTGGATGGTAAGAGAGATATAAATACCTACAAATTCCATAATCATAGTTGTTATGTTCTGTGTCACACACATGACCAAAAGGAGGGATTGTTATTCTTATTTTCCCTTTTGATTCCCACCCATGACTAAGTGTATTTTAGGGATGACCAATTCATCCTGCTCTCTGCATGCACTATATTCTCAAAATAAGTTTAGATCTCAGTTAGTAAATAAATTGTGCATTTGTAATTCTTTTTTACTTGCATCAGGTTCTTTGTCATCAACCTGTTAACCACTGCTGTTGTAAAAAGACCCACAGAGCAACTTAAGAGCTATGGCTGTGAAAGTTTCGTTACAATCCATCCATTTTCGCTTATTCTCAAATGGATTGGAGCCCATCCCAGTAGTCAGTGGGTTAGAGGCGGGGCCAGTTTGCATATTATTCCTCCAGATAAGATTTTTGGAGACAGTTATAGATCTTATTATTGTTAATGAAGTGGAAAGAGTATTAGATTTGAAACCGACTTTCATATAAATTCCTTATCAAATGTTCCATCTCTTTTTTGTTGAACGTATCATTTCTTTTTTCAAAGTAATTTTCTTATTCTTGTGGCTCTCATCAATAGCGAGAAATCCCATAAGATGCAGACTGACACTGATACTTTTCTGAGTTTGTATAACTAAAACTGATCATACATCACCAAAGGGCATTTTTAATGCAGATGGACGTCTACTTTTTGTCGATGTGCGACATCTCTGCTGTGTGCGACTCATAAATTGATCATCATCAGAGTATGTGGGTGTCCAGGCAGACATGTGTCTCCATGCGGTGACTTGCTCGGTTAATTTAATGCGAAGAAGAGAGGCCACATATCATTAAAACGCTGGAGGCGGCTGTTCCCTCTCTTACCATCTCTTTCTAATCAGTCGTGCTGATTAGAAAAAGGAAAGCGACACTGAGCAGGACAAATAATGCAGACTTAATCAATGCGGCTATTTAGATTTTCCTTTTTTACTAGGTATGTGAACATGAATCACATTGGCCTGGTATGAAAAGTTGATCAATAACTGCACTCTTATATAGATTAAAAGAAGACCCACATGAACAGTTTATATACTTTTCCCCCCACAAAGTTAAACATCCACTCCAAAAGTATAGTTTCCTTTAATGGGACTGGTCAGAGGAAACAGGTGTTTTAAAGGGAGAGTCTGTGTATTAAAGGTTTTATTACAGGTTTACAAAAAAAGACCGACTTGATAGTTTTCTCATTCAGCATCGGTTTCTGTTTTGTAGCTGCAGGTTTGCCGGCCACAGAGCAGAGCTTGGACAGCCCCAGCAGCTCAGGCTCTGAGTGGACCAAACGGGACATTAATAACATCCTGACCACCATGTGCTGCCAGATTGGCTGCCGAAAGAGCGATCTCACCTACCTCTGCTGAGGATGACATCTTGCTTTTTATCCTCATCCTCAATGTGACAAAAGGACTGTGCTCTCCCCCCGTTTAGTTTAACAGAAAAAAAAAAACAAATCTGAGCAAACCAAACCCAAATCACATGCTGACCTGTGACAAAATGATTAGTGTACAACTTGTGAGGTTTATAGATGAATGTGAATGTGTATGTCATGGCCCTGAGCTGGAAGATGTGGTTAAACGATAATTCACACTTGATTATATTTTAAACAGAGGGCAGTAGATCATGCAGGTCAGATTCTGTATGAAGAGATGGCTTTTCAGCCCAGACACTGCCGGGTACGTGTGTGTAGAATTAATCCACAGGGTTGTCAGCATGGAAAAATCTCCAACTTTGTTTTGATTTCTTTATAAGAAACCTGAGTTGTAATTAGTGTGTTTTTAATTTTGAAATAAATGTTCTTGCACAGGGTTTGCATATTTTGTGTGATAATTTCATCATCAGTCACATCTGTTGAAGGAGAGAATCAGTGAGTTCATTCTTCCTGCGCTGAATCTGAAAATTGTTTAAAAGTATGACAAAAATGCTCATTTTTGCCACTGCAGTACCTCTGTGGGTTGTTTTCGTTAACATAAACGCTGTTCATTGTCTTTGTTCAGATAATCTAATTAACACAGGGCTAACACAAAACTACATAAAGCAAATGGTTCCAGAAACTGAAGGTTTAACCAGGAATTGGTTTTCGATGTAAGGTTATGGTTCTTTTAAGCTTACGTTTAAATTGGTGAGTTCTCTAATTAAAAGTAAAAGTAAAAGCCACTAAATTCGGCAAAAAAACATCTGAAATTCATAATCATCCACAGGAAAATATCAAAACAGACAAATGTACAAATGACTTACTCTTTGGGGGACACGTTGAAGCATTTTCAGCTAATTAAAGGGCATGATCATCCCACCAGCTGCTATTAAGACCTATTTTCAGTTGACACTTGCTTTGGTTAAATATACTTGAGTACTTGATTGAGTTAAGGAAAAAGACATTTGTTTGGACTCTAAATAAACATTTCTTGTGAAGGCACCACCAGGAACTGCGAGATGAGTCTAATTAGATAAAACAAGATTTTAACGGACCTTCTGTCCTTGTAGCATGTGCGCATAACTACTCCTAATAATAACTATGGGAGGGTAAAAAAAAAAAAAAAAGTAAAAACGTGCAGGGTGAACAAACAGACTTGAATAAAGAAAACAGCAAAATGACGCATCCAGTTATAACTTTTATTGGTTTGGAAAGAAGCAAACTAAGTTCCTCAGTTCATCTTAGCATTGTTATGTCCTGGACAAACAGCTTGCACATGTGTTTGAGGTTAACGATACAGAACCAAAAAGCATTCTGGCTTCTATCACATAAACACACTCCCTGTTCTCTCCTCAACATTAATACAAGTTAAGTGATGCTCAGCACAACACGTCATTTCAGTACTATCTATCATCATAGATGTCCCATCTTTGACTGCATGCTTTGCATGCAATACTGAATTACTGCAGGACAAATTCATCACACAGATGAAAAGCTGAAGATACAAGTTTTTTTTCTACTTTTTTAATTATCAAACGATGCAAACAATATTCAACAACTAACAGACAAACATTTGTGTTGCCTTGTGTTCCTTTTAAACTGATATATGATGGGTAATGTGCAAAGTGGGGTCTTGGTAGATAATGCTGATGTGACTGTTGCACTGAAAGCCTCAAAATTCACACAGAAAGTAATGACGTCCTGTCAGGCATGTCGTGTCATCAAGACAACATAAAAGAAAAATGCTACAAAACAAATATATAACTAGGAGCTAAATGGCACCAATCATCAATAACTGCCCTCATTTTAATAAAACTCCACTTTGTGTTGTTCCTCAGAGCCAGAACAAGGAGTCATTTTTCATGCAGATTCCAGATCTGAAATAACTTACCCTTATAAACTGTATCCAATGAGAAGAACTACATACCTGAATAGAAGTACTGGTATAAAATTAAACACTTTTTTGCCCTAAATTTATCCACAGATGCTTGTATGACAGTTCTTAAAGGACTGTGATTGGTTACATTTAGCAGAATGCCGACACACAGTACAGTACGGAGATTTTCGTTTACACTTCACACACACTTTTTGTTCTTCATGTTGAGTGTCAGAGCATTCAGGAAGTTTATCATAATCAGCACAGTGTGTTTTCTTTTCACATTAAACAATATACTATTTTTTTCCATTTTTATGCATTTTAAAAATATTCAGCTTATTCTCCATAGAAGAGGACTGACTGTCCGGGGTACACACATTAAATACAAAAAAACAAACAAAACAAATGAACCAAAAAAATAATAAATTTGGTCGGCTTAACTTAGCCCCACATCCTCATTCAAATCATGTCATCTCACAGAGACCATTACGATTATGAAAAATAAAGCCATGGATTCAAGTGCTGGCTGGATGACCAGGGTGTGAACATGATATCATGGGTTTAGGTACCAGGAATGTGACTGGAAACAGGCGTGAAACAGGTAAGAGGCTCAAAGCGGGGAGGAAACTGAGGGCAGATGTTAGATCTGGGAATGGCAAATCAATGCTGACATGGGGTTTGAAATAAAGAAGCTGGTCCCAGTAGTTAAATCCTGTTCCACTTTAATGTTACCAGAGTCACCACTATTCATCACTGCAGCTGAGAGAAACTTATTTTTCTTTCTTTCTCTTCTTTTAACATCATAATCATAATGAAAGGATTGCTTGACATTTTGGGAAATTAGACACTTAATTTTTCTATTAAATAAATGTCTGCTAAACATGAAGCCAAGCAGGCAAACAAATGGTCATTTTAACTCATTTCTATATGCATTTTAAAAACTGTCAGGGAGGCAATGTGCCATTCTTACAGGAAAATGGATCACTTTATGGTAAGCCAAAGATATTTTTGTTCTGGGAAAAACAACTCTGAGGCTTTTAGGTAAACATATCTTTAAAATCGCAGCCTGTCATTGTTACAGGAAAACAACAGGACTTAATGTTTTTACCAGAAGTTGTAGGGGACCATAAGTGGAGATTCAATAATGAAATCAGAAGTCCTTCTTTATGATAAGTGAAAAGTCTCCTGCGTGTATCTGAGAGTTAATGGTCACTTAATCTAGAGCATTTCCCAAAATGTCAAACTACCTCTTTCAACATGAATTTGTAGGAGTTTAAGTTGAAAGCTCAGTTGCTGTTAACCAGATAACCTCAGGCCATTCCGTCCTGTGAGGCCACCTATCAGACAGTCCCTCATGTCTTTCTGCTTCTCACCAGTGATTCTCTTACCATGAGAAACCTGCTCAACTTTCTTTGATACAAACTAAGATGGTGGACTTGGACATGAGAGACTCTGAGGTGCTGAGTAACTATGAGCCTTAACACAACAGAAACCAAGGAATCTGCGAACAGGTCAATACAGACAGCATGGACTGTGGTCAGCTGGTTAGACTGTACTTTCAGCAACTTTAAAGTGAGGAGCTTGCCCATGGTATAACTAATTATACAATAGCACTGCTTTCAAAGCATAGCACAGCATCCAGGAAGATATTTATCTTTTTCTTTAAATACCCTCACCACCCATATATAGCTCAAATCTTCTGTTGCACTTGAGTTAAAAAATTATATCTGAAATAAATTCAAAAATTATACCTTATACTGTACACAGGTTACTGAACTACACAGATAACAAAAATGAGAGCGATTCCAAATATTTATACCTTTAAGGGTTCCGAGTTGTGTGATACCATTCAAATTCTATTCATATACAGGATCACATGTTTTATACACAAATAATTGTCATCAATAAATAAAAATAGAATGCTGTCATGTTTTCTGGAGTCTAACACTGCTGTCCTGGAACAACAGAAAGGCTATTTGACAATACTAGGAAAACACCAGACGCCCTTTCAGAGATATATCTTGTATATATATATGTATATATATATATATATATACACACATATATGTATATATATATATATATAGTGATTTAAAATGACACTTTGTACACCTCTTTTGTTCTGACGGGAAAAGTGTTTTTTAAATTCTTTTTGTATTATTATTTTGCAACCAGTGACCTGACTCATCATTGCAGCTGCCTAACACGCCAACAACCTCAGTGTTTGTGTGTAGTTTAGAGAAGGAAAATTGCCTGACTCTTGCATCAGTATGAAAAAGAATTCCAACCAGAATTCCATCATGTGACCCTGTAGTACCAGAAAGCGATGCTTTAAACTCTCCATTAATGTAGTTAACTTCATATTGTGTTTCATTCAATTGTACAAAAACGATCATTTAACAATGCTCAGTGTGTCTGGTAAATAATCTACCACACCCTAAGCACAGCCTTCTTAGTCTTCATTCAATGAAGTATGACTTTCTATGCAATATTATGGGCCCTGCTTTAACTCTTGCTAATCTAAATTTTGATGTATCACAGGTTGATGCATGTCTGAGCAAAACAATCTTTTTCAAAGATATTTTAAGGACTGAGAGCAACAAATCCTGTCATCCAGAGATAAATTCTGACTGACTCTCCTTCTTCAGTCAGGCAGCTGCAGTGAAACTTTTGAACATCGCCAAACATTGACCAGAGGAGGATGAAGACAGAGGCACAGACTTTAGAGAAGGGAGAGCCCAGGTGTCTTAACTGCAGCAACATGGATGTTATGAGATTAATACAAATACGATAATTACGTGACCTAAAACAGTTCCACAATGCTATATGTAACTTATACAATACTGCTGAGTATGCTGCGGGCTCCGTGTGGGTTCAGAAAAGGTTTAAGGAGAGTCTGCTATCGTGTGTGGGTCTGCCCTCTGGTCGAAGTGCCAGCCTTGTCCACTGCAGTCGTTTTGTTCAACAGAGCTACTTTGAGTTGTGTGGGTCAGTTGTCAGCCAGGTATTTTCCTGAAAAGAATTAAATTTATGTTAGTATTTCACAACTATTACACATTTAAATCATTAGGTACAGAGATGTCACCCTAAAAAATAGTTCAAGGTAATTAAGTAAACTATTAGCTTATTATAGCTCCCCCCCTTAAACTGCAATAATCATTTAGGTTTGTATATATGTTCGTATACAGCTCAGGGCTGAGGATATAGGGTGGTTTCAGAAAACACAATTTTCAATTTAACATATTTATTATTAGGGTATTCGTGATATTGCAATTTTATTCAAACCCTATCTGAATTATAGCATTTATTTGCAGAGATCAAAACCTATGAATAACATATCTGCAAACCAAAAAATATGTATTGCCCAGTTTGATTCACTAGTAGAGTCAAAGTATTTGTGAGGTTCCTGGTTTGGAAAATGCAGAGCCACTACACTGACCTGCAGCAAACCTCTTCTTGATGAGAGAGAAGCGGTACCCTGGGCCCGCCAGTTCAATGTCACAGCCTGACAGAGTGCTGCCCTCACTGGTGAACTGTACCGCCAGTGGGGCCGGTTTACTGGGGCCCTCCGTTAGCTGGAAGCGCGCTAACAATGATCCCACACCTGGGAAAAGAGTGGGAATGTGAAAAGTTATGTGGATGAAGCCAAATATGAACAAAACAAATCTCAAACCCCTTACTTAAAAGGCCAATAAATCAAAACTGTGCAATATGGATTAGAAAGCTATATTTAATAGTCCACAGCAGGTTTTATGATAGTCAAAGTTATTTCAGACGCCGGCAGCTTAAGAGAGAACCTGAGAACGTGGTACACACTCTCATGGTGCAGACAGACGTCACTGCAGCTGTGAAGTCACTGTAGCACCACTGACATACACAAGGGGGCATCATTAGCTAGAAAGCAAGGTAGTTCCTGAGGGCCCTGAACCATTCATCCCTCTGTCCTGATCCGCTGAATTAAAGACCACTGTTTATGAATTTGTTTAAGCTCTGTTGAAGAAAATTTCTGTTTTTCTGTTACTCTCAAAGGCCTTTTTTTATCTTACAGTCTTCTCTAAGTTTGCCTTGTATTAAATGCTACTGTGTTCATTTTAAAGGTTAAAACACCAACCATGAACATAAAGCTTGACCACGAGAGAAGAAGAATTTGACAAAGTACAAAACACAAGATATTATACTGAGAGAGATGGTTAACATTAGATTTTAGTGGTCTTCCTTGCCAGGTCATCAATTCAAGATTTAACTGATGAAAAATTAATTAATACATTTATGATCTCTGACTAGCCAATTTTTTGAGAATCTACAAATTGCCCTTTGTACAAAAGCACCATTTTTAAAATTAAAAATACAGAGTTTATGACCTTCCCTTCTTACCTCCATTTTCAGATTTCTGGGAGATATCAGGGATCTTCCAAAGGATTCTTTGCTGTTCTGCATTCCTGTAAGGATTTAAAAGACACAACAAGCCATAAAATGCAGCCAACTTTCATCATTTATTCAGCCCTATATTTAAAAGGTTTAAAAGTCGTATTTCTATCATATGTGGTTTGCGAAATAGCTGGGCATATCTGTTATTTTCAAGTTAATGTGCTAAGCATTATTTTCACCTAATCATACCTTTCAGATAATTAGTTAAAGGCTGCTTAATTACAAATTTCTTAACATTGTGGTCTTTACCATGCAGCAGGAGGTAAGACTGCCTGTAGTTTCGAAACCCCCCCATCAACAGGTACAAGGAACTGGACGTTGTTGAGGGCCATTGGTGTTGACATGGCCTCTCCATTATATTTGTAGTCTATCCGCAGGTCAGTGCTGGTAGGCTCACATCTCCAACTCACAGCCAGGTTCAGAGGAGTGGATTGTAGGCCTTGTGTCGATACCTGGCCACAGACACAAGAGGGGATGCATGATAGGTAACTGCTTTAATTTAATAATTCTGACACATTGTCCTTTATCTCCTTAAACTTAATTTAAACGCTCATAGAAAAATAAATGAATGAAGTGAATGCACTAAGCTGTGGGTCCATATTCAAAGCCTACCTGATACTTAAGCATGTCCACATTGTAGTATGTTGCCTGTGGCTTCTGCTCTGCAACCTTTTTTAAATGAGATATCAGGTTTGGCATGTTCACCCAGAAGTCCTTTGCATCTCCCTTGGCTTGTGTGGTGGTATCACTGGTGAGAAAATAATGGAAAATATTACTCTTAATCCAATTGAACAGATGTCTAAAAAAAAGTAAATCTGCTTTCTAAAGTTGTTTAAAAGCAAAGATCTCAACAAAGACCAAAAACACTTATTTAAAAAAAAAAACAGGTTTGAATTTTTCTGTAACGTTACAAAGCTATATTTAAAAAAAATCAATCTATGTGACAAATTTAGCCTTAGTAATGGCAATAATCTACACTTTTTTGGAAGACTCATTAACAGGACTTTTGAGTTGTCACTATACACACTAGAAAAGAAATGTGGTCTATATGATCAACATAAACATATACCAGACACTATACAAAGATTTGTATTGAAGCTATAACTTAATGATCCAATAAATCTTTCTCAGATTGCTTATTTTTAAAGTGCAACATGACTCAAACAAAAATAAAGTGAAATTGTGTGTCTGAAAAGCCACATGACCTCATGATGACTCAACGCAGAGTCAGCGTAATTGTCTGGAATGATCTCACAAAGTATTACGTATCCTCAAGGCTTAACCCATTAAGACCTGATGATACACACAATTGTATCAGAACCTATTTACAGAGAGCTGTTTAGGTATCAATGGGTTTAATGACAATGAACATAACCATATAGGAAACTACATGTTTCCCTTGTTAGATTTATAATACAAACTGACATATCTGCACTTATTTTTACACTTTTACTGCTCATCTGTCAATCAATTTTTATTCTATCTCTGACTCATTTACTCCAAATCTTCTAAATGTCTTTATTTTCAGTTTTTCAATTATGTAAAGAATGTGGGCTCATTGGGTTAAAATAATCATTACAATATTGACACAGAACAAACAATTTAACGGAAATGGAATCTTGCTGCATATTAAACTTAGGTACACTTTAAAACCATCAATTCACAATTTCTGTTATTTCTAATATGTATAATGTTCATTTGATTCGTTTTTAACGAGATTCAGTTGAGTCATAATACTGATGACATGTTAAATGTTTTGGGGGAATTTAGAAGTTAGACTGTAATTATGATTTCTGACTTAAACTACAACCATTAAACGTGATTACAAGAAGGTTAGATCCTCCACCTGGGAGGAGAAGAAAATTATATTTTTTGGAAAAGCTGGTGACTTCATAGTGGAGACATTACCAGCAGAGCAGCTGGGGGTTAGGCAGGACATGCTCCAGTCGGCTGTAGTTGGTTATGCTGAAGGTTAGCGTGGCGGGGGATGGGTTATTGGCAAAGTGCCGCGTGATTCCCGCCGGAAAAGACAAAACCATCTCACCTATGATCTTCGCAACACACCTGAAAGGAAAATGCAGGGACAATTATGCCAAAATATTGTTAATACTTTTTTTTTGTTTGTTGATAAATCTGACCTGAAGAATCTTTAATTTGCTCGTAATACTGTCTGGATAATAGTATTAAAAAGATGAGTAAATCATTATCTCTGCTGTTGTGCTATAAGAAACATGCTACATCAATAGGCTAAAGCCATCAATTTACTCTTCAGCTCACATCAGTGGTGCATGGATAAAATAAGGATTCTCAGGGTACTCAGCTATATTGCAAAGGTGGGTAATTTCATCAGAAAATCCACAGCCCACTGTCGTAACGAGGATTATATGTACAACGAATATAAAGGATACGTTTTCTCCATATCCATAATGGAAACTGTTGAAAATTTTAATTACAGCTGGGTAATAGAGCCACTCATTTTCAGTTGAACATAATGTCATTTGATATTTCATATCTTTATTCATAAACACATTACTTTGCGTTATAATAAACTAACATTTAAACCCCACCCTTTTTAAATTAAGGTAGATTTATGAAGGGATGTAAACTTTTAGTATAGAAAATGGTCTAAGGACTTTACTGACTCCAATTTAAGTGTGATGACATAACGTCTGCATCAGCCATTGCTGTACATACAAGTGACACAAACACCTCAAATGAAGTTAGAGATGCTGATGTTAAACTAAATCCGATGACAACTTATCATTTACATTAAGTAAATATTTCTATACGCCACACAAAAAGGTTAAAGAAGAAGTTACAACTTGGAACCCTACTTATGGTGATCAGTAATGACTGGATGTGTGTAAATGTGTAAGCACATACTTGCTGGGGTCAGCTCCTTTAAAGAAGGCATTGACTGTCTCTGTGAATGCAGCAGCCACAGGAAGTGTGTCCTGAGCCCCCATTGTGAGAGGACTGGGCCCTCTGGAGCAGCCTAACCGCCACAAACAGACACAACCACAATCAAACATGGTACAAACTAAAGGGCCAACGCTAAACTTTTTCCAGTTCTAAAATATCTTATCTATTAAAATCCTTGAATCAATTTACCATAAATGTTTAAAGTCTTAATTACTTCAAGTGACAACTGTTCATTATTCCAAACCAGGACTCAACACTTCCTATCAAAAGGTGCAGGCATGAAATGAGGAGCAAAACATGTGCGAGTGACAGAAATGAAATGAAACTTTACAGCTACTCAAAATAAAAACAAATAGAGGTGTTAGTAAGGTGGACTGAAATGAAACACCATCTGTGAGAACACCATTTCTCTCTGTTCTTTGACTGTAAAACCTCTGATTTACCTCAATTACTCTAAATATTTTTGTTAAATTGTGGAATTTCTGCTTTTTTTTCCACGCTCATCTCCTGTCTTATTGGCAGAGCTTTGCTGGGCGAGAAAGAAGAGACAGAAACAGATAGAGAGAAAGTTCCAGACGTGCAGTTGAAGCTTAGTCGCTCCGACAGAAATAAGAAAACCAGTGAGCGCAAAAATGAAACTGAAAAACCAGTTCACCAAAACGGACAAAAAGTCTTGACAAAGCCATTAGTAAAGTGCACAGAGTGATGACTGTTCGGGGAATTAGAGGGAGTGAGCACAGATTAAATGAGAATGAGCAATGTCATGAGAAACAAAGTTAAAGATATTAAACCAGATAGATTTCAGTGCAGATGAGGTGGGGCTCAGCCTGAAGTCAGCATGGTTAAGGGTTAGCTGATGGAGGGATTGAAAATGGAGGAAAGGGAGGGGGCAGGACAGAGAGGGGGCGAAGCTTGCACAAATGAGCCTCGCAAGAGTGTGTGTGGACGCTACTATGCTGCAGGACAAAACTTACCTTCAAACGTTAAATAAAACTTCCCTCTGTCAAACCACACAAGGGATGGCTGGTCATTCTCTGCGTGGGGTGGGGGGTAGAAGGAAGGGGGTGGTGAGGGTCAGGAGAGAAGGGCGAGGAGGTAGAGGGATGAAAGGGAGGGAGGGAGGGAGGGAGGTGGGTGAAGAGGGGAGAGAAGGACAGTAGCGTGAGTCTCACATGGCAGGTCTATCACACGTCACAGTGAAGTGAAACGTGAGGGTGGAGGATGAGGGAGGGGGAGGAGTGGCCGAGCGCGGAGACAGCGCCTTCAACAAAAACATGTGACCAGATGGGACGTGGGATGCTCTTTGTGGATGCTTGCAGGTGCGAGGAAAAGGCTGGATTGAGGTAAAGTGAGTGAGGGCCACGTGTGCAATTTTTGAATGTCGACAGAGAAGCAGCCCAGAGATGCAGGAGATATGTTGCTGACGTCAGGGGCCAAACAGGAGACACAAGATAATGCTCACATAGGCAATGACTGCCATCACAAGCAGTTTAAATACTGCAAACATCTTTCTGTTTAATTGTTTTTCATTTCTGTCCAAACTGAAGGATAGCTGGTACAAATGAAGGTGATCTGCAAAGGGCATTAAAGGGATTTAATTCAGGGAAAACTGAAGTACACGGTAAGGTGCTACATCCTACATTTAAGGAGTTGTATACACTTTGTTAGGAAAAAGGGATAAAATGTGTCTTTAAATTGCTCTTATGCCAAACCTGAACGTGAACCCATTCTGACATGGATTAAAACTATCATTACATTAGGGTTCACAGATCCCTGGTGAAAAATTGTCTAATGCCATGTCTCTTGTTTAAGACAAACTGAGATGTCAGAATATCAGAATTCCATATCTGCTCCATTGTTACGTGACTTTATTAATATTTTTGGGTTCCCTTAAAAGTCTCTTAACAGAAATATTTCTCAGGAGACAATAGTAACCCTAGATTCTAAAGGTTCAACTTATGGATAACTAATTTCTCCTGACAATTTACGCAGCACCAGTACGACTGCAGCAAGAATAAATCATTTCAAACCAAGTTCTGCCGTGTTAAACTTCATTGCAGGAATTCTTTTTAAAAGTAAGAAGATGATTGTCCCAGCAGGGAAGCGCAGGTTTGTTTGTCGCTAAGTGTGTTTTGCAGTCCCACGCTTGATGGTGTGTTGATGAATGAGTCACTTGACGAGCGGAGTGTTGCATGATGGAATGATGAGAGCAGCACAGTACTTCATGTGGAGAACAAAAGGACAGGTGTTCTGAAAGGGGTGGCTTGGGCCTGGTGGTCTCTCTAGCTATAAAGTGCCTGAAAGGACAGGTGTATAAAGCGGGAGTCAGGGCTCAAGTGTTGGTAATGACTGAGTCACAACCTAATTGAGATTGGCTGAACTTGAAGATGTGTCATGCACTTCAGCAAAGAGAGGCTGGCGTGAATATCAAACAGCTGCTTGTCTAATTCAGACTAGTTCTCAAGTCAGACTTCAAACAACTCGGAGCGGGGCCTGTGGTCTGACAGTATGTGTGACAATGTGTGCTTTGAATGCTAGTGGGAGAAAGAGAGACAGACAATATAGATCTCATGGGCCAAGAGATGAAGAGCTCTCTGCTACGCTCACCGATCACACTACAACGTTCACCGTGCTGCAAACTGAGAGCAGAGCTCTGGTGCTAAACCGCACAGAGAAAAAGGAGCCGGCAAAAAAAGAGACAGGAGGTTGCTATGGTGACAAAGGAAAACAGTCACCAGAGTACAGTCATAAAACAGAGAGAAAAGTCTCACAGGCAGATGGACAAAGGGGAAGATTTTTTAAGGATCATTTAAAAAGAATTACAATAACTGTAATTGTTCCATGCAGATTTTTGTTTTGACATATGAGAGAATGAGTCAGAAAGGGAAGGAACGCACAAGATTTGCGGATAGGTGAGACTTACGCCATTAAAAGTAATAAATGTCTGGGAAATACATAAGGGTATGAGCTGATAAAAACAATGGTTCACTGAAAGCTTCAACACTTGGGAAAAAAAGAAAAGGAAGAATGTTTGGTAAGCCCTATTATTTGAATGAAAGTAGGTATTAAAACAATGACTGAGAAAAGGTATTTTTACACAGTAATGATTCAATGTGTATTTTGCCTAAAGAAGTGTATGTTTGAATACCTACAGTTTGATGAATGACACTGATCGAAAAAGTACAAAAACACTCAGAGATTGCCTTTACCCTTTGAGGCCAAGAGCATTCAGGGTAAAGCTTTAAAACTCACAAAGGAGCACTTCCAACTCCAACCCTTATGAAATGCCATTGAATCAATATCAAATAAACAGATAAATACTTAATTAGTGTAGTGTACCAATTACTTTCGATGTTGAATACATCATTTAATTAATGCAAACATGTAGATGAGTTAATGTAGCTCACCTGAAAATGTTTTTAACAAATTACAATTCGCAGAAGACAATTTGTCATTCTATCTGAGTTTTCCTTAAAATTTCCGTCACTGATTTTAATATTTCAATCTCCTTCATTCAAATAACAGAACATGGTAATCTTAGTTAGAACTCAGAACTTGTTTATATAGTATTAATTTCATTCTTTCATTAGTATTTATCAATGTATTCATCTATTAATTAAGCAATGACTCAGATGGTATTTCATATGCCACATGACCCCTTCCTCCCAGAGGGGAACTGTACTCTACCTGCAAATGAATCAAAGTGTCTCTCAAAGGTGGGCAGTTTGTCTACATAAGCATCATCTTCTGATAAGCCAAAGAGTAGATAACGGACAAACAAAACACAAAGAAATTGAATATATAAAAATGTCATCTTGAATACAAAAATGTGATGTTAATGCCAAAATAGAACAACAGAACGGGAGAGAAGACAAGTGGCGCCTGTGACATTTCCTTTTCTGTCCAAAAATGTTGTTTTGTGAAACATCACTAACCTTCTTAGTAACTTCTTCACAGTGGTCTGCATTAAGTGAGTCATTCTATGACTAAAATTTAATTTTACTTTACATAGAGATGCCTCTGGATTTCCTATTTTTAATCTATGATTCTGCCATGTTACATTCTGAGCTTTGCTGTAATCCACTCAGCTTTGCAATACAGGGTCTTCTAACAATGGGTCTAAAGTTAGGGGAGAATAAATTGTTATTTCACACCAGTTCAAACAAGGCTTTGGTGAAATATTTGCACGTCAAAATTAACACCCTGCTTCATATTCTCACCTCCCACTCAGACTCTGTACGCATTTAAGCCTGAAAATGAATTTGTTTGCTTTAATGTAAACTAGATACAATATTTATTTGCTGTTGTATTAAAGTGATACCTTTAACCAATTCTTTGTCAGAGTCAGACAGATCAAGATAAAAATATACTGTTGTAATCCTGAAGAGGGAGTGCATGTGCACTGATCTTTGTGGTGGATGGCGACAAGATTCAACAACACAGGAACTGTTGCAAGCATACCGACTTAGAAACGGTCACATTTTCCAGTTTCAATGAAAGGAAGCAAAGGCATAAGCATACTTAAATGAGCACAAACTGAACAATGATAAAGACTGGGCCAGTTTATGAAATAAATAATAATGGTTTAATGGAAAATAGACCTTTCAATGCAGGACTTTGTGAGCCATCAAGCTGTACAGCTCAAAGAAGATTCACACACCTGACACAGACACACACAGGTCCTTGCCGACAGTGGGGGTGGTAGCAGCACTCAGGGAATTGGTGGAGGAAATGGATGAGGTGCTCTCAGCCCGTGCCAATGGGGCAATTGGGGGAGGGCTTGCTGAGTGGATCGGTGGGCTGAATGGCCGATTCTGAAAGATACAGGACAAGTTTTCTAACCAATTGGGAACCTTATATAGTTAAGAGTTATCCAGTTAGGCTCTGGGATAAACTTGGTTCTACCAGAGTCAAGATATATAATTTGTTTGGTTTCTCGTGGTTTATTTCTAGAGTTTTGAACTTATATGAGCAATGACAAAACCTTTGCTTAAAACAGATAAATCATTCACATAGCATTAATCTTGAAATAAAATATGAGAAACAGTTTTTTTATAAAATACACTAAGATGGTATCTTACTGCATCTACAACCGACGGTTTCCCCGGAGGAAGTTTGGGTCGTGAAGGGGGGCGTGGTGGAGGGGGAGGTGGGGCTGAGTTAGCTGATGATGGGGTGGCAGGTCGTACAGGTGAGGAGGAACCTGTAGGTAAGGGAAACAGGAAAAAAAAAGGCTCAGATATTCACACATTCATTGAGATTAATATACCTATGTGATTTGTTCTGGTTTGAGTCTGTCCCCAGCTAATAGTTACAAAAGGGTTAAATTGATTAACATCAAGTCTTTTTTCCCCTTTCTGTTTATGACCAGTAAGTCGGCCAGCAGCGTTTTACAAATATCCATGACATTTGATCTTAAATTTTATGAAAAGCTTGTCTGGTAGTAGAGGAAAAAAATCACTCTTAATATAACTAGATTATGATTTTCTATAATAGTCTAATCTGATCTTTAATTCGCTGACTGATATGTTAAGATCATCAGAATAAAACCCAGAAGAAAAATCTAAGCCAACATTCCACATCCTGTGCTACAATGCTTTTATACTTCTATCTAGGCCAAAACATGACCTCCTTTCCAGCACAAAGAAAAAAAAATGCAGATCCACTTTAACAACGAAGATGGTGCAATCCACTGAAAGGAAATCTGGAAAGGGAGCACTGGTGGAAGTACTATCCCTTTTCAGCACCAAAGAAACAAATTTCATGTTTTTGTCTAATATGTGTGGACACTATAAGCAATACTTATAAGAGGTTCAATGACCACGGCACAATCATTACACTGAATGTATTTTTATCTGTGAGAACTATACATGCATAAAAAAAGACAAGTGACTCAAGTTTCTTTTCTATTAATGTTCCTGTTGGAATCATGATTTACTCACCGCTACTTGTGCCACCAGTTCCAGATGTTGGACCAGGTGATGATACAATTGTGCGGTATGTTGGAGGAGGAGGTGGTGGAGGTGTGCTCCGACTCCCCTGACTAACATCTTTGGGCGAGGTGACTCTTTCCTCTCCATCCTCTTTGGACTCAGGGGTTTCTGTGTTCTTGGGATGCTCCTCTTGTGAGAGCAAAAGGGGCTGTGGGGCTGATCGTGCTGCAGGTTCTTCAGAAGGGGATGTCAGTGTTTTTGGGGTGGAAACAGGGGGGACACTAACAGGTGAGTTAAGAGGAGGCTGGGAGGAAGCTGGAAGTGATTCAGGCTCCTTTGGTGCTGGGGGAGGGGTTGAGAGTGGGAGGGGAATAAGATTTTCTGGTGTTGAAGGACCTAGACTGGCAGGAGGGGCAGCGGTTTCTACTGTAGGCGGTGGGGAGCTTGGTAGAGGGGGTACTGGATCTTCTTTTGGGGGAGGGGAGGTAGGTAGAGGTGGTGCAGGGTCCTCTGGAGGTGGTGGTGATTTAGGAAGGGGAGGGGCAGGAGATTCAGGTGGAGGTGGGGAGGCTGGTAGTGGAGGTGCTGGTTCTTCTGGTGGGGGTGGTGAGGAGCGTTGGGGCGTTGCAGGATCTTTTGGTAGAGCAGGCTCTTCAGAAGACTTTTCACTGAAGCAGACCCAGGTATCACCCTTATCCTCAATATCAGGGCAGGTCTGCTCCGGTCCAAAAATGTTGTCTAAGTCAGCTATCGAGGGCTTCCTGGTTGAGACGAAAATTTCTGCTGATGCTTCTGAAAGAGAGGCCACTAGACACAAGAAAACAAAAAAAACATCTGCGTTTACATAGATGTTACAGAGATGTTCAGAAAATGCCTCTAACAGTAAAACAGACATGTAAACATACTTACAGAGAAAGCTAAAGGTAAAGAAGAAGGATGACACTGTATGAAATTAGGTTTTAATAGAAACTTACCATGAACTTTTTCACCAGCCTCATTTTCTGGGAGGGGTCCAGTTGTTGGAGGAGTAGTTGGAACATTCTTGGGTGGAAGTGGAGGAGGAGCTGAAATGATATTGTAAGTCCAATAATGAACAGTCCTTCTACACATTAAAATGTAACACCTTAATATTTGCATCATATGTATGGGGCTAATTCACATTCCTGTAGCTTTAAGAACAATAAACAATAAAGGGAGCAAAACCGATCAGTTTACAACACAAGAGAACATCACTCAACAAAAAGAGATATTGCTCCCCACCTGCCAAAGACATACACAATAACTTTAGGAAAGAGCACCCCAAACAATCCACCATGCAGCACAGCACTGTACAGTTCAGTCACCATCAAGCCAAATGCAAGGAGAAGGCAGCAGGGGAGGCGGGGGGTTGGATCAACATGAGAGCAAGGTTTAGAACCTCTCCTTTACAAAAGACCTTTACCAATAGTGAAGGCCAGACTTGTGAAATGGTTACTGACATGAAAGAGATCACATCTCTGTACAGAAGAGGAAGGGAGAGCATTATGACCACACAGTTGTTTGATAAGGACAACTTGCAGGCTTGCTTGTTAGTCAAATGATGAGTTCATGAAGTGAGCTGATGGGTCCGTGCAGTCATTCCAGGGACACAAAAAAGTGTGGTCATGGTGCAGGGCTTATTATAACTTACTTCCTGTGGGAAAGGCTCTTGTCAAAGAGGTTTCAGGCTCTGAGAGAGGAATCCCCCACACATCAGACCCAGAAAAAGCCACTAAGTTCAGGAGGGGACAAACATAAACCAGCAAGTCAGAGAAGTCTTTAATTAGAGTAAACAGATTTGTCGTCTGACCAAGGACAGTCAGGATGACTCCAAACACTTGAACACCACAAGTACTCATGTCAGGCTAACTACACTTCAGTGCTAATTTGATAATGGAATGCAGCAGTGGTGGTTCAGCAAAGAATAACATGTCTGAAGGCCTCTCCTTTGCAGTGGAATTCAAACTCCTGGAACAATTTAATCTTCATGAGGGTCAGAATGTTGAGACTTTTTAAAAGAAAGAATTTCATGTTTCGGCATACCCATCATAGTCAATTGAATTAAGTTTTCTCAGACTGCATTTATTTTCAAAACTGCCTTTAATGCCAACAGAAGAAAAAAAAACGTATATATGCGGCTTGGATAATGCCCATATCTCGACACATATTATCCAGGGGCTTAAACAAATTGCTTCTACAATGCGGAAATAGATACACAGAAAACTATCATAGTTTAACATAAAACAGGCTCAAGTGGGTTTTTTTCTTTTCTTCTTATCTAGTTTTTCTTAGACCTGCCAAAAGAGCACTTTTGATAAATAATATTGAACCTAAGAGGAGCTTTAAATTTTTTAACTTGTATTTGCTACTACACTTGTCTGAAGTCAAATGTAAAAGGATTTCTGTCAAGCTGCCGTTCATAATGCGTGAGATGGCACTTATGTAACAGCTAAGAGCCCTTCAACAGCCTGCAGGACTAAATCCCGATGGGAGCAGGTGACAGCAGAATCTGCATATTAACAAGCTGCACTATAAACATGTGCGTGACCTCAGCGGACCAAATTCAACTTTAACCTTAGTGAGGACAGATGGACTGAATCATGACTGTACACTCAGCCTGAAGGAAGGACAAATCTAAATAGATTAGAGGAAGAGATAGAACAAGAAATGAAAAGTGTATCTTAGGACAGACAAAATGGTTTTACCCGACTGCCTTACACAAGCAATAGTGGACTCAGAAAGCTTTCATCCTCATACTGCTAAAATTTCTGTTAAAAAAAGCAAAGACAAAAAGAGATGAGTTACCTTCAGTTTTTTCCTCTCCAAAAGCCGTGTCCAAAGGAGGCCCAAATAAGGCTGTGGTGTCCTCAGAGACTGGGGTTTGTTGACTGCTGCAACAGCCGCATAACAACACGGGAGAAGATGTTAATGGTGGCGCTGTCATTTATGTAATGCACTGTTACAGCAGTTAGATAATGCACGTCACTGTCATCTCATCAGACAAACACATGACACTCAGAGGTGTTAAAAACATTTTATCAGAAACGTTAGCCAGTCAATTTTATTCTCCGATACAAGTGATCTCATAATGCACATAATGTACATTGCAGCAGCTTCAGTAACCTTTCTGTCGGGCTTTTTTCTATCTCCCGTCTCTTGATGGCTCAGTCTGTTCTGACTGGTCAACTGATTGATGTAAAATTACACTGTAATAGACAGTTGCTTATTCTTTGTTTGAGATGTGTCAAACTACCCATTACGCTCGTATAATGCACATGTTTCATGGTGTCATCAAGTGAAGAAAGGCCTATAAATGGAGTATTCAAGAAGAATAGCAGAATAACATTTTTGTGGTTTGGATAATGCAGGTTTGCATATTGTTTTATAGACATGGAAAGTTAGACAAATAACCAGGGGAAAAGAAAATATCTAATTATAAACTAACCTATTTTTAGTTAATTTAAAGATTTGTAGCTGCCTATATTGCAATGGGGAAGAAGGGTTAGGGTTAGGGGAATAGGGAGCTCCATACCTGGGGGGTTGTGGAGCTGGAGCTGGAGCTGGTGAAGGCGCCACAGGAGGAACAGTTGGAACCACACGTCTGGGTCTGGCAATCTCTTCACCTGTGTTGAAGGTCACATGTGTTCAGCATCAGTGCTTGCATTTTCTACTTTTAAAAAGTGAGCCGGGGCTGAGGTCCAAATAAAGAAATACTTACTGGATGTGTTCCTTTTCAATCCCTGTCACACAAGGGAAAAGAATGACAATAAAATGTAAAATCCAAAGACACAAAATCTCAAGTTGTGCCAGTTGTCTACATTATTTTGTTAGTGTTCTGTCTATGATCAGCAAATTAACTGAAAAAAGATGAATATCATTCCTCTGAATTGTAATATTTGGGGGGGGGGGGGGATTTGGAAATGTGTTTAAGATAGAAGTGTTAATGCACAAAAATAAATTATATGATGAGAGCACTGTTGTAATGATTTGGGTGCGTACAATCCTCAATGACCAGTCAACAATGACAAAAAATAATATTGTTAGTCTCACATTTGTCAGAAAATAGCAGCTTGGTTCATTGCAGCTGCCAGCAGTGAGCTAACATAAATGAGGAGGTGGAATGTAGAATCATAGCAAGAAGTGGTTGAAAGCTTAAAAACATGCTTTTGAAGGCATATGAAATCAGTTGAGGCGACGGATAAGGTAAGAAACTGATAAAGGCAGGGTATGGAAAAGGCAAAAGGGACACAGATTTAGCTGATAGTGAGCTAAAAGAAATATTGCTGCCTTTCAAACTGTGATCCAAACTCCCAAGTGTAGACATGCATTCATCATGAGCAGGACAGGATTAAAACAGACAGCAGCGTATAAGAGGAGAGGGGACCACATGGGAGCAGATGAAGAGACATGATGGGGAGGAACTGAAGTTAAGCATCAAAGGGTCGACTGTCAAAAATAAAAATGTTCTCCCAAGCAAAAAGGCATTCAAGTTTAAAACAAGAACACCAGACTATTATAGATTTTGGTAAACTGAAAAGATAAATATTTCCATTTCAATGCATCCAATTTAAAAAAAATGAAGGTCTTAAAAAGTTAGCCCATAGTTTTGGCCCACTGTTTCAGCCACTGAGCCCATGCACATGCCATCTCTTGTTCAACTGCGCCCAAGGACATGGTTATAAGCAAAAAGGCACAGTAAGTCATGTGACATATTTAGTCCAACTCAGTAAAACAGAAGGAAAGGACACTTACCGGGCTACGTCTCTGTGACCAGCAAAAAGGAAGAGAGAAGAGATACCTGATCAGAAAGTGACAAATCAGTAAAGCAGACATCATGTGCATCACAAGAAGAGTTTTTTAACCACTGGATGAATCTGGTAATAGGTACGAGTCCTTTGAGAGGTCTTATCTGTGCTATATTTTGTGAGATAAGGCTTGTACAGTATAAGTGTGTATAACAGAGTTCAAGTACTTTTCTATAAAGAGTTGAGAATTTTTTTTGTGTATGAGTGCACTCCCAACTTCTGCTAATGGTAAAGGAACACTTGGTGAGAATATTTGATTGAAACTCTGATGTCATATGTGAACCTGCTGTGACTGGACATAATCCAAACTATCCTGTGGGGCTGATTTAATCAATTCCCTTTTTGCCTTCATTTTTTTTCTATTCATCAATTTCCTGATCAGTAAAAACTGTAATTTTGCCACCTAATCCGAGCGAGTTCCTTTAATTTGAGCACAGAGCCTCCCATCTGCTTCTTTAGTCTCTTTCATTTCAACTGAGATCTCTCCATCTGCCTGAGTCATATCCACCACACATCAACCCTCTCTCCCTTCATCCCTCACTCTTGTACTTGCTCCAGTTGTGCAGTGAGCCATGAGTGATTAAAATGATGCAACAGTGGGTGGGACATGCTCGTTGAGAGGAGTTATTCGATTGGACAAAGCACTGAGAGACACATTTCAGTACAAGCTGACATAACCAATCATTGTTACGCAGCAGTATGTAAACAGGAAGAGTCAACTGACTGAGCTGACTCTCAATGTTTCACACAGTTATACATTCATACTGACAGAATCTCTTGAGACCAGCTACAGTAAAATATATAAAAATGTGATGGATTCAGCATAGAACTAATGTTTTTTTTTTGGTTACATATATTTCTATGAAAAAACAACACAAATTAAAAAATGTCAAACAATTTAACTCTTCCTATGACCTTTTCCTCACCCCCTCTACAGCTTGTAATGCCCACTACTACTTGTTGTTTTGGCTGGGAGGAATAGGCTCAAGACTCTGCAGCTAATTAAAATCAGATTTAAGATGTCTTAGGTCAGTGGAAACACCTTAAAAAAACAGGCTCTTAAACTCCATATGCCTTTGCAAACAAAATCAGCTTGGGACTGACTACTGAATAGCCACACAAGCATTCCGAACTGCCTGATATTCAAAAGAATCAGTGCACAACACAGGCTGTTACCTTATGAATGCAAGGCCGATGACAAAGCTTACAGTTACTGAGAGTGGTTTACATGCTTTATACATAGCTAGCTTATCTACAGCAACACAAAGACAGAAGCAAATGTGTTTAGAAGTAGGAAGTATTTACAGAAATGAGACACATATGAAACGATCAAATAAATAAACAAAGCAGAGGCTTACCGGACTCCTCTACAGAAGTTAACATCATTTCAGGCAGCAAAAGCAAAAAAAAGAAAGAGATAAAAAAAGATAGCAAAAGTTAAATATTTCCCAAAAGAAGAATTTGCTAAGACTGGCAAAATATCTGTATTCAATGAGGGCAGGTATCTTTATCTACTGTTAATACATACAGTCCGAACTTATAAACCAAGTAAACAAATAAAAAATTTACTTTTTTCCCCCCAAACTTGACTTAAAGAGCCTGTCAGCGTGAACCTTTTAATAATTATCATGACCATCTTGCAAGCTCATGAACAAATGAACAGTTTGAGGAAAATTCTCAGATTTTATCACAAAACAGAGGCATTCATACTATGTAAAGCCTATCTGGGCAGAACCTGTGCGAGTATTGTGTGTCGGTCAGGTTTGTCACATGCCGGTTCAAGATACCATCAACCTTAGACCTACATAGATTAAAGAAAACGATTACAACCGAGATTTGAGGGTTTGCTTTAGGATAATTATTAAATGTGATTTCACCGTGTGACTTGTTTTTTATCATGAGTGTGAGAACAATTCTCACAAAGATAACATGAGACTAATCTAAACTGGAACGTGTAAAATTATTACTGCTCTATAATTACAGACGACTCATTCCAGTGTCACCAGGAGATTCAATTTCACCTCACAGTTATGTCACGACAACGTACAGAGGGAAAGAGACAGAACGAGATGACTTTTTGTTTTCAGTTTGAACTGAACTATGAACTGAATCCACATTCTTATTTTAAAAATGCCTATTATGTGTCGCTGACTGAAATGTTCCTCTGAATCTGTTATTAAAAGTGGTTTATGTTAACTCATTAAACAAACACTGTAATTAAGCAAACACATTCACACAAAAACAAATCAACTCGCAGAAGCATCAACGGTCTCTTTGTACTGTAGAGCTACTACATACAAAGCTCACCACCCACGTGTGCACACAACTGACACCAGCATGATAAGACCTTCACACCTGATGAGGCTGATAGAATCCACAGGTGAACACTCTGAGGCTGGATTAAATTATTGAGGCCAGAAACTCAAATTACAACAAGGAATCTAAATTGCATAGCAGACAGAAACAGAGGTTCATTGTGCCCACTTTCCTACCTGAATTATTTACGGTGGACACCCAAGCTAACTGTCCTCACTGGAGAGCTAAAGAACTTCTGGTTGCAGTTGGAAAGGCAGTGAAGGCCAAACCTCCGTGAGAGTCCAACTGCTAATTACAGACTTTCTAAGAAGGATGTGTGCTTGGATTTGAACTCCTTAACTGAGCTGCATCACTTCACATAAGAGCTTCACATCCGACTACTTGCCAGCAGAACGCCGCAGTCATGATGTTATATTTCCCTCATGTTAAGTGATGCCAAACTAAAGACAACACAGGGGTAACAGACAACTCTCATCAAGTATCACAGGCCTCAAAAATCACCATGAAACTTAAGATAGAATATAAAATTGCTGATCCCTTTCATCAGAGAAACACAAAATGACATTTCAGCCGAGGCTTCAGACCACAGACAATGTCATGCAGAAACACTCAGATAGAAAGAAAGAAAGAAAACATGACAGCAACAGACATGCACAACCATGCCTCTGCACTTAAAGGTGCAATTCCACATATTGAAGAGCAGTGACAAGAGGGCAAAATAGTGGCTGTCTAGATTATTTGTATCAGAGAGAAGGGTGCATGAGGACTACTCACAAGAGGAGACGGGGACAGAGATATGTTGCCTATGGAGGCTTTGAGCTCATCCACTGAGGGAGCTATTACAACACGATCAGACGGCAGGGGTTTAATCTTGATTTTGAATTTCTTTCTGCGGTCCTCATCCTCCTCAGACTCATCAGAAGAGAAGAAGTGGGTCTTGGTGGTGGTGGGTTGTGGAGCCACTGTGTTAAGAAAAGCAACATCTCGGAGTGATGTGACATTTAACTTGTATAATATATTAAAATGAATTATTTTGTCAGAGATTGAAACCCACTAGAAAAACCTTTCAATTTCAAATTGAATTAGTTTCATAAAACTGATGGTCAGCCATTTTTGTAATGAAAAAAAGACTTTACCTTTTCTTTTGAAAATTGTTTCGAATAAAATGGTTGCTTATGATGCAAACCCTTTTCCCTTTTCAGTGTTTTGGTCTCCTCTCCACACAACTACAGGCTGAAATACTGCTTTCTACCAGGCTCCTGTTCAGCTAAGTCATTGTTAAAACATTTATTGTTTATTGTGACACTGATATATCTTCATCATTATCTACTATATCTATATAAATGTTTATTAGATTAAATGCTGTAGATGTTTTGTTGCTGCTGTATAGTAGCGCTTTCTAAACAGATGTCTCTTACTAATTAGAATAACTGATCTGGTTAGAGAGATTTTCCAGCCTCATAACATTCCCGACAGACTGATGAACATCTTTAGTAAATTCAGCAAAAATAGTGAGCTGAAATAACTTCGTAAGGACAAACGTAACAAAAAATGAAGCAAAGGATATCTGGTTCTTCTAACTCTTCGTCAGGTCTGATGCTGTAGCCCTCATCATCAACCTCAGGGGAATTCTGAAACACAAAAAGTGACTCAATAAAGATGTATCACAACTCTATCCTGCCGGCCTGTGACTTCAAACCCTAACATGCGAACAGAAACAGTAGTTGATTGACAAAGTGCAACTGTACACACTAAAGCGTCTTGGTTCAACAACTGCCGGCAATCCTGTTAAACAAATGCTTACGGAAACTAAAAATTACAACAAAACCTCCCCATTTCTGTCAACTATAATCACATTTACTATGTCAACTTATGAGTTAAAAGTCCATTCATTCTATGTGCATGCAAAGTTGAAATAAAGTTGCAGCTAAAAAATATCCATCCTTTGTTCCTCATACTTACATATCTCTCCCAGTCGATATCTTCATAGAAGCCATTAGGGGCCCCATTTGTCTTCTTCTAAGACAGAGAAGAAAGAGACTGTTTGTTTAAAGTCCTCTGACACTAATAGAAAATTATCATGTAAAAATACACTCTGCTACCAATGGCACATTTAGTTTTTCAGCTAACTCTGTCCTGTAAGCTTCTGTTTCTATATTTTAATACAATGTCTTGCTTTTCAGGGGGGCACATTTTTTCCTCCAAATTGTCTTTTTGTAGTCATCATTCTTGAATTTCTTTTTTTCAAACATATATTCAGATTTTTGCAGCAGAATCAAGATAGGTTTCCAGTACTTCCCAGATCTCTCAGTTTTGTGGCATTGTGTTTTCATCATGTTTTCTGGAAAATAGGCTGTTAATGATGCAACAGCTAAAACTACAACACTGGCGGCTGCTTAATGAGATAACAAATTAACTATGATGTCTATTCAGTGTTTGAACTCTACACATACTACTCTAGTGACTAGTCTAGCCTAAAGATCTCAGTTCAGTACCGACTCGACTTCTTGGGGTTCCTGGTTCGCAAGAAGAACACGAAACAAAAAGAAATAATTTGTCTTCTGTTAGTAGATTTGTGGTGTCAAAAAGAACTGGACATAGCTAAATTAAAGACATTTTTTGGTGCTGAATGTTTGCTAATACTTACACCCCCGTCTCTGTCTGGGGACCCTCTGTGAGAAACAAAAAGAGAGAAGAAAAGAGAAAACACAAATGTCGTTTGAGATCTTTGGGAATGAAGAGAGACAACAACTTAAAAAATGCTTTAAACAACAATGATTACTTACAAAATCACACACCCACTTTCATCCCAGCACATACATTTGTTTAATGAAATCTAAGAGTCTAATACAGAGTTTCAAATAAGTCAAACATCACAAAGGTTTTCCATTTGATTCCAATATGAGGCTGAAGGAGGACTTACGTGGAGTCGTTGTCCTTCTCTTTCTTCCGTATCCCGAAGGCCTTCCTTGTTCGTTTTTTCAATCCTGGTAAAACAGAAGTGGAATACAAATAATTATTTCACGAAGAGAAAAACAAAGGGCATGTTTAAAGGTAGTGTCTGTGGGTGGCTTAAAGGCCAGTAGCTGTTCAGCTGCTGTCATCCTGGCAACTAAAGGCAATGTTTTCATGTATTATTAAGTGACTGGCAGCATCAATGTGAAGACAAAGACTGAATCTATAAATGTGGCCATGTTCTTCACAAATGGAATAATGACCCTGCCGTCATCAAGGAAACCTCTTAGAGAGGAAAATTCATTAGCACTATTAAAATCAATGAGACAAGAATGGCTGCTGCACATCAATAGAGAACCCTTCTCTCCACCACACTTTATATACAAGTACTGCTTTACTCAAACAATTTTGCCTTTCTGATTAGCATTTAATTAAAAAAAAATATGCCCTCTTCTCCTTCCTCTTTTGAAGGTGATAACAGAATAAAAGTCTGACATGTAATGCGTTCCATCGTCTAAACTCAACAGTCATTTTGATCCATGTAAACTTAAACATCTCTACCTCTTTCTTACCCAGAATGAAAGCCCAGTTGTCCCCTTCCATTACTTCTCTGAAAATTCCTTTCCACTCATTCTCCCTCGTCTTTGTCTGACTGTGAACTCATCACATAATCTCATGAACAACCTCCCTCTTCCTCATACCACCTACAGATACACACTGAGCCATAGATCAGGAACTTGATGCTACTTCTCGCTAACAAACATGCACACGCCCACACAGATAAAGTATCCTGTCCTTGATCTGTGTCTGTCTACTCAAATTCAAAACCACTGTGGTACTTGTAAATTAATGACATAGGGTCAACTGATAATAAAAAAAATATTAGATGCATTTTACTCGGATTGTACAGTGCTTTACTTTTATCACCTTAAGCATTTAATAAGCCAATCTGACCATCCTCTGCTAAGTGTCTCTTAAGCCTAAAGTAAAAGGAATCATCCGTGGAGGAGTTTAGAATAATGAGATTCACAAGCTTCTTATTTGTCTGTTAATAAACAAAAAATGGATAACATCAATGTCCTTGCGGACATTTCAGAAGACAAATGTTATGATATGCACACAGAAAAAATGAGCTGAAAATGAATCTTTACAATCTGATCAGGTGCTGTGAAAGTAGCACTTTATAAAAGCCAAGTGAGTAGTCACAGAAAGAAGGACTGACAGATTTAAGATGTAGTTAAAGATTTAGTATACATTTCTTACTGAAAAAAAGAAGAAAGCTACTTGGCTATTCCTTTATTCCTCATCTTGACTTGTAAAATATATTTGGATTCCTGTCATTTCACTAGTTTCAGCAGATTTTTAAGTATCAGGGTCTTGCTTGCTTTAAAACTGCATCTATTCATCAAAAGGACTTTTTTTCTTGCATACATTTTCAGCCCTCTTTTGGCCCTTTCTTGTCTCGCCTTGGATCTCTTTCCTCGCTGCTGTAAATCCAATACTGCCTCAAGTAAAAGCTGAAAGATTTACAGCTGTGCAAAGGCAACAGTGTGATTTGTATTTCTTCGGATGCGTCAGCATGAAGATGGTAGCTGCACACTACACCGACATGTCGATCAGTCCTGGAGATGAAAACTACCTGATTATTTACTGAAGATTAATTCTCTGTTGTCTAACCCTTTTGCCCTGTTTTGTTATTCCACCAACTCATTATTTTTGCTTAAAAATAACTGCAAAGCTTTGTTTTTTAATCTGTACATCATATATACTCAGCCTTGTCTGAGCCTTTCTTGAGCTCAGATAACAGCAACATGCAAACGATTAACCTTAATATGCATATTAAAGGTTTCTCCACGTTCAGAAATACCAAAACTTACAGTCTTTTGACTGAATGTGAAAGTATACACACATGCACATAGCAGGGCTTAATTGATGGAGAAGGAGGACCATGTGGCGCATGCTGTTTAATGACTTTATGACTTCCCTTCAGAGGGATGCTAGTTCAACTGCTAACGTAATTATCGGTCTATTCTCAAGACACAGTAATGCAATTCTAGGAAAAGCCAAAATGATTTGAAGCCAAACAGGAAGGGACACTGCCAAACCTTAAGAAAAAAACAAAAAATAACATCTGAAGAAAACCCGTATGCAAACCAGAGTTATTCTATAAATCATTTTAATGGACAGAAAGATATTTCCTTATCTGGCATGACTATGAGAGTGAGTTGTTTTACACTACTGTTCACCTGGTCTATGAAAAAAAACAATGAATCTAAGATTTAAACTTAAGTTGGAAGTTAACTTTGGAAAGATCTGAGGATGTGAAAACAAGCTCACAACGGAGAAAAAGCCACCCAGAACAGCAGCGAGTGTGTTATTATGGCTCTGAGGCCCAACCCTTCAGCCTACAGGAAGTGGGTGTCACAAACACCAGCACCTTAAACACTGCAATTACATATTTGTGCCATTACTACATGGAGTTTAGAAACGCACAAGATGTACATTGTTACACTATTCAAGTAAGAGATTTATAGGGAATAGCATGTAGATCTTCTGCAATTATTTTATGACAGTTCCGAGAAGTACAGCCAGTAAAATGAAGGGAAAAACAGGTTGGTCTCAAACTGAGGGCTGTGACCGAATCTGTGGACTGCACCTATTGTGTGATTTCCTGAGGGGCTCCATGTCTCCCTCTTGTAGGAGGGGTGGTGAGTTAAGTGCAGCTACATATTCCACAGAAGCAAACACATATTCACACAAATCGAAAGCCCGCGTAGAAGCACATGCAGATCAAAGACAACCACAAAATATATGCAGGGCATTGCTGAGCTTCTGGAGAGGCAGAGTAGGGGGCTGTTTGAAAGCTGCTTGCTCCAAACGGAGAAAAGATGAAGAGACGATCAGCCAGCCAAGCAGCAAAACACACACAGAACTCACACTGCCAGCTATGGAGGAGCAGACCAGACCAGGCCACTTCAAACCCTGAAAGGGGGACCTGTATTGCTGTGCATAATAAGCAGAAGGAGCAACAATAACCCATTGAGGTGTTTAATACAACTAGAGAAATTGTGTCTATGGCTCTGAATACAAAAAAGTCACTGTGGCCACTTCATATTTTGCCGGAGTTGTTATTTGTACCTGTCTTTTTGTCTATATGATGCGTTGCTTATCTCAAGTGGTAGAAAATACATGTTGACTTTCATAAGGCTGTGTAATGTGCGTGTCAGGGCATGCACAAGTGGGAGAAGAGCATGCCAGAATTGCAGTTCTGTGTTTTTGTGGGTACTGTGTCAAGCTGTTGAGCAAGTATGAGAGAAGTCAAGGGGACCCACCGACAAGATAGAAGGTTAAAAGAGTAGGAGACAAGCAATTAGTGGTACAGGAGGAGGTTTGGCAGGCATATAAAGAAAGAAAAATATACAGGACAAGCCCTGAGAAAAAGAAAAAGCAAAGACGTATGAAAGCAGATGGATTGACATTAAGTGTTATACACAGAAACAATTTTGCATATTGCAAACAGATGGTTTAAGTCTACTATTAAGTGTACTTTTTTTTTTTAAGTGACTTATGACCTTCACAGACAGAACAAGGAGGGAGAGAAAGATGAAAAGTTATCTACTGCTTGAGATAAATGCAGTGGCCTTACAGTCAAGGCCCTCCCAATCTGTAACCGAGAGCACTTCAGCATCAAGATGTTTGAAATTAATGTAGCCTCCGCCTTATTCAAGTAATTTTTGGGAGAATTCCTCAAAGCCACAGATTTGTCTTATGGTTGAGTAAACTGTTCTGTTTTGTCAGCGTGTGCATTAAGTTATTCTGTCCAGAGCCAGTAACTGTACAGGACACATAGAATTAAGTCACATTTTTAAAGCAAGCTTGCATAAAATGGCTTTGAACTTGCAGTCTGTTTAATTATTACTTCTCAGCATCCACAGGAAGGAAAAAGTCATTTTATTCCATCCTTCCCAACAAGTGTTAGGAATGAATGCAATTTATTTGTCAAGGCTCTAACTGGAGCCAGGTGATCATACTGAAGGTTATCTTGGAAATATCGCTATTTTTCATTAACATGGTCTATAAAGACAAAGCTAAAAACATAAAGGGAAAGGAATCCTTAAGACATCACCACTGACAAACATATCTTGCCTGTATCATTGGGTATTAACATGCCAGACAGTGTGTTTCATTGTGAGTGCTAGTGTGCAGAGAAAAGGCAAAGGTCTGTTTGCGTTTGAGTCTGCGGATGCTAAAATTAGGTCTGTGCTGCTCTGTCCAGGTGGCTGCACCACGAGCTGTCAAGTGTAACACTGGCAGCAACAATTTACCTACAGTGCATTCACAAATACTAGCATTTGTGTGCACGAATTAGGAGAGGCCACAACTATTTTTATGCTTTAATTTACACTGTAGGTAGGGAGAAAAACAAAAATAAAGAAATAAAAATATAAATAGATATTTAGATAAATAAATGTTTCATCAAGTTTATAAGAAAGTGGGTCAGGAACAAGCACAGTCTAGTTTGTTGGCACTGGTGACACAAAAGAGGTTAAAGTTAAAAGAAAATGGTGGTGATGTTTTTATCTGACGTCAGATGTTGTGCAGGCTTTGTATTAATTGATAAATACTTTACATGTCAAGAAAGAACATCACAAAAACATTAAAAAAACAGTCACCAGCAGTGCATTGGGTTGTGAAACAGTGTGTCGAATATGAAAAGATGACACAAGCTAATTTTGAAAACACTATGTTGCTATTCATCCTATCTCTTCTAGTCCACTCCATTCAGTGTCTACCCCATTTTATCTTATAGACAACAGGCCTTCCCGCTTCTCATCCTCAGGCTCCAAATAGCAAACACCAAGGACTGTGTGGCAAATGACCCTGATGGAGAGCAACGAAAGTAGCTTTCAACATGGATTTACCTCACAAAGATGAAAGTCTGTCCAGACTTTCATATATTAGATAGGAAAATATAAGAATCCAGAGCTCTTTCCACTCCTAACTGAAGCTTAAAACGCTATTATGCATGCTT